GTACAGCAAAAAAAACAAACAAACAAATAAATGGTATCATATGGTATGCCTAACTTACTTCACTTAGTATTTCTAGGTCCATCCATGTTGCTGCAAATGGCATTATTTCATTCTTTTTAATGGCTGAGTAGTATTCCATTGTATATATCTGCATCTTTATCCACTACTCTACTGGACATTTAGGTTGTTTCCAAGTCTTGGCTGTTGCAAATAGTGCTGCAGTGAACACTGGGGTGCATGTATCTTTTCAAATTATAGTTTTGTCTGGGTATATGCCCAGGAGTGGGATTGCAGGATCCTATGGCAACTGTAGTTTTAGGAACCTCCATACTGTTTTCCATAGTGGCTGCACCAATTTACATTCCCACCAACAGTGTAAGAGGGTTCCGTTTTTCTCAGTGTTGGGAGTTTTGAGGGTTACCTCTGGGGAGTCAAGAAGTAAACCCTGGTACTTAGTACAGTGGCCTCCAGTTAGCCAGTGGTGGCCTTTGATCTCTAGAATCCTTTGTACTTGATGTTGGGGGGCGGGGGTCTGGACTTCCAGTGGCCGTCCAAGGTAAGCTTGTTAGCTTCCTCCACTGATAAAGTGGTGGCAGCTGCTGGCCGAAAGCAGCCAGGCCAACCTCAGGGCACGCCATCTAGTTGTGTGGAAAAACAGCCTATTGGCTGAGGAACTTCTAGTTTCTTTTAGGTCGCCCAGAGCTTTTAGGGGGTTAGGACTTCCTACAAAATGAATGGCTTTTTAAAACTGAGGAGACCCAGAGCAGGAGCTTTAATGAGGACCTGTTTGATACTATTAAAAGCCTTTTCCTGTGTTCCTCAGCCCAAAGTAATGGTTCTGTATCTGGGCTTTTAATGGCTTCACATAGGAGCTTAGACATTAGCCCAAACCCTGGGATCCAGAGTCAGCAAAACCCTGCTTTTTTACCTTTGTAAAAAGGTACAAAGAAACGTCTTTGGGGCACTTAGGCCTAACATACTCGTTTTCTATCTTGCGACAGCTGTCTACGTCCAGGATTTATAATGTGTCCCATGTATTTAACTTGTTGCATTGGGATTTGTGCCTTTTTCTGGGAGATCCTGTAACACTGGACCTCAAGGAAATTAAGAACTTCAATGATGTTCTCACTTGAGCCTCCACAATGGGGCTACATATTAATATATCATCTGCATGCTGTAGCATAGCCCCTTTTAGGCCTGTTTCCCTTGGTTCCTTTCCTAGGGCCTGGGCAAACACTGTGAGCTGCCCCCAAACCCGTGGTAGGTAGTGTTGTCCAGGTGTATTGTTGCGTCTGGCCCAAGTGGGGGTTAGTCCACTCGAAGGCAAACAAATATTGTGAGGAATGAACTGGGATGTAAAAGGCAGCATCCTTGAGGTCGAGCACAGTAAACCATTTAGCATTTACAAGGACTTGGGCTAATATAAGGATTGGCCACAAGGGGGAGTATAGGAACCACTGCCTCTTTTACTGCTGAGGTCTTGCACCACCATCCCCCCATTAGGCTTAACTGACAGAATAGGTGTATTGCATTGAGACTGGCAGGGAACCAAGAAGCCATATTTTAAAAATTTATGTATGAGGGGTTGTAACCCCTTTTTTGCCTAACCTAATGGGGTACTAGTCTCTGGTTAGGGTAAGCAGCTTCTGGCTTAAGGCTAGTTTCTGCAGGTTGGGCATTTATAGCCCTCCCAGGGACTCCTTTGTCCAGTGTGCTGCAAGGTTCACTGCTTGTAGAAGTGAACAAGTCGCTGGCAACAAGCTCTTGCTCTTGTGTTGATCTGCCTTAGCCAGGGTTAAGATAAGGGGCTGCTCTGCTCAGGGCCTCCTAACAGTAATATCGCCTTGAGGGAGCCCAGAAGATCTCTCCCTAGTAGTGGGGTAGGCCACTCAACTAAATAGGCATGTTCAAAATGGCCAGTGAGAGCCCCAGTGAAGTGAAGGGTACGAGGCTTTCCACTGACACCAGTCACGGCAGCTTTTACAGGAAAGAGGCCCAGCATGAGAAATCAGGGCAGAGCAAGTGGCTCTTGCATCAATTTAAAAAATTGATCTTACCTGCCACCAGGGGCTCCTCAACGGAGATAGACATCTTGTGGGGGCGGGGGGAGCCGCCAGAATCCCTCGGCTGCTTCAGTCATCCAGCATGGCCATCTCAGGAGCAGGAGCCCCCATTCCCCTTGGGGACCAAGGGCAGTCCCATCTCCGATGACTGGTCTGTTTGCAGACTGAGCAAGGCCCGGGAGCTTCTTCTGGTACTCATGGGCCCAATGGTCAGATGACTTGCATTTGAAGCATTCCCCCTTGGTCTCGCCTCCGGACTGATGGTTGACCCTTCTTGCCCCCTTTGGGTTGCCCTGAGGTTGCAAGGCACGGCTGACAACAACAGCTATCAGTTTAGCTTGAGCCTCAGCGTGCCTTTTTCCATGTTGAGTTCTATCCTCTTCCTCAGTTTGATCTCCATTATTAAATATTCCAAAGGCCACCTCTAGGAGTTTGTGGGCCTAACTAACTTTTGGAGTTTTTGCCTAATATCAGGGGCAGCAGGGACTGAATCTTGGGAGCAGAGAGATCTGTTAGCACATTTTCTAAAAAGCCTCCACAAGCTGTCCCTGAAAGAGAACAGGGCTTTTTTCTTCCTCTTGGGTCACTTCCTTGACCTTTTCATAATTGACTGGCTTCCAAATGCACTTTCTCATTCCTTCTAATAGGCACTGGACCTTGTGATTCCTGGCCTTCCCCCCCGCCCCGGCAATTATAATCCCAAATGGGCTTATATGATTTGGGACTGCGTCCTGAACAACATAAATGTTGGGCTGGTCCCTGGCAAACCGGTCGGCATACACCTGTGCTGCTGCCCATATCCTCTGCTTCTCATGGGTACAGCAGGTAGGTAAAACCATTGGACTATTTGGACGTCCTTCCAAGTTAAATCAAGGGCCAGGATTAGGGCCTGAAATCCCCCGTGAACCTACTAGGGTCTTCAGAAAATTGGCCCAGTCTTTGTTTGCATTGGGCTAAATCGGTTAAGAAGAAGGGCGCATGTACTCTTTTTTTTTTTTTTAATAATACACAATGTATTTATTTATTTATTTATTTATGGCTGTGTTGGGTCTTCATTTCTGTGCATGGGCTTTCTCTAGTTGTGGCAAGTGGGGGTCACTCTTCATCGCGGTGCGCAGGCCTCTCACTATCGCGGCCTCTGTTGTTGCGGAGCACAGGCTCCAGACGCGCAGGCTCAGTAATTGTGGCTCACGGGCCCAGTTGCTCCATGGCATGTGGGATCTTCCCAGACTAGGGCTCGAACCCGTGTCGTCTGCATTGGCAGGCAGATTCTCAACCACTGCGCCACCAGGGAAGCCCCGCATGTACTCTTGATTGTGCCTTTGCCATTTGCCACTTCCCTAAGCGGGCATATTTTCTGTGATCCTGGGTTATAGGAAGTTCCACTATGGCTTACCCCAGCAGGACCAGCATTTTCAACCTGGGGTATCATTGGGTATAGAAGGGCATAGGGAAGAAGGGTTTGGGATTGGCCAAGGGAATCCGGAGAAGTACAGGTACTTGTAGAGTAGAAAGGGCTCTATTTCCCCCTTAAGAGTTGGAATGTAGTTAAGAGAAGATTGTCTAGAATAACGGGAGGGTTCTGATTCCCCAGGTCTCTGATTACAGGAGCTGCATAGAGTGGGATTACTGGAGTTGGGCGCACTGGAAGGTGGCAAAGGAGTGTCGGTAGGTGGTGAGATCGGAGACTAGGCAACAGAAGAGTCCAAAGTCATTCACCCTGCTTTCTTGGTAACAAAAATAAAACCTAAAGAGTCCTGTGAATTCTACCCGACATAGCACTGGATTTGGCAATGTTGCGGGAGCAGTTTAGGAATGAGGTTCAAGAAATCCTTTCCCCAAATGGCGCAAAATCCCAGCTGCCCGCCAAAGAGGGAAGTCTTAGAAGAGAGGCAGAGAAAGGGAGAAGTCAGAGGTCTCCACGCGCAGCTGGGCAAGGCCCGTGATCTACCTTGAATCCAGGGATCCGAGTCAGGGCACCAAGAACCCTAGACTGATGCTGATTTACCTCAAGGTCTCCAGCCGGATCACCGACAGTCCTGAAAGTCAGAAACCGCCCAAATGCAGACAGATGCCCAATCCTGCCATTTCCGGCAAGACCTGTTTTCACCCCCCAGGCCCTTCCATCAAGGAGGCGCACCCTAAAGCCTCAGTCTTGCAAAATAATCAGACTGCGCGTGCAGTTTTCATACGAGGTGTCAGAAATTAAAGCAATTCATCACAGGCTCGGAACTGAATTTGGGAAACCAGGCCCAGCCCAGCCTTACCTATACAGAGAAGCAGATCTGGTGATTCCGACTTCCCGACGGAACTGGGGGGAGGGTGAAGCAGAAACGTGTAGAACGCTGAGGACCAAGATGGGTCTCAGGCGGAGGCTGGACCCGGGGGCTAGGTTGGCTGGCAGGTTTGGGCCACTTCCCCAACCCCCTCTGGGCCCGGTTCCTCCCTTGACTGTGGCGTACGGAACAAAGAACTACGAACCCAACGACCTCGTACTTGATCCGGAGAGACCGTAAAAGCCTGAGGCTCAAGCTTTTATAGAAACTGCTCCACCTCTGCGATTGGGCAATCCCAGCGGAAGTATCTCCCCTCTTCACCGCTGATACGCTCCTTTCTCTACTCTCCAAGTCTCCACCAATCGAGCCTTGACATTTCTTTTGGGGGCGGTCTCCCTGACCCGACACCCGAAGCTCCACCCTTTTGCAGAGGCCATTGAACTTAACTGTGAGCGACGGATATATATAGCCAATCAGAGTCCGATCTGCAACATAGAGTGATTCTGAAGCCACCAATCCCGCCCCGCAACATCTGAGCCGCCGGAAGTCGTAGTTTCTGAAGAGCCTCGAGTAAGGCGGCCGCCTGGGGCCCCGAGAGCCAGAGAACTGCAAATCCCGGCGGGCACAGCGCCTGAGCGCTTCCGGCTCGAACGTCCTGTCCCTTTCCCGGCCAGCGGTAGAGGGGGCACGATGAAGCGGGAGGGTGGCGCTGCGATTCCCGAGCGGCCACAGGCGGGTGAGTGTCCTAGCGGCGTGCCGGGCCTGGGGCTCGCGCCTTGGGCCCGCGCGGTGGGGCGGAGGGCCGGCGTGTTGGTGTCTGGGGAATGGGTCGGGCCTGGGGGGCGGGGCTGAGACGCTCCGGAGTCTCCCCGGTCAGTCCGTCTGTCTGTCAGCTGGTCCGTCACTCATTCCCTTTCTCCATTCTCTCCTTTATTCATTCTTTCTTCCTGCGTTTACTGATCGCCGCCGGGTGCCCAGCACTGTCGTAGGCGCGGGGAGACTGCGGAGAGCATGATCCCAGTTCTCCTAGGCTCTTCTCGTGCAGGGTTTGTCAACCTCGCCACTCTTGATACTTCGTGCCCATCATTCCCTGCTGTGCCTTGTAGGGTGTTGAGCAGTATCCCTGGTGTCCACCCACTGGATACCAGTAACCTCCCCCACCCCCGAGGTGACAACCAAAAATGTCTCCAGACATTTCCAAGCATACCCGCTTTGAGAACGGGTGATCTAGAGAGGGGTGCGGGATTGACAATGCACAGACACAGTCATGAGAATTTGTGATAGGTGCCATGAAAAAAAGAAGCAAGGTGTTGAGAAAGAGAGTACCAGGGGCTCCTGAATGGCTTGGGGAGGGGGCACCTACAGTGAGCATCCTGTCCTGGAAAGTTGCTGGAAGAGCTTTTTGGGCTGAGGTAGCAAGATGTACAAAGGCCCAGGGTGAGGAAGCTCAGCGGACACCAGCAGGTACTGGCAACGTCATGAGAGGTGAATTGGTGAAGACACAACAGAGTGCAGGATGGGGATTATATTGTGCTTACAAGGGAGGCTGTTGGAGGACTCAAGCACAGGAGAGAGGGCATCAGGTCTAAGTCTAATAAAGAGCCTCTGGTTGTGAGTGGAGGATGGACTGCTAGCTTCAGTGGGGAAGTAGGAGAGAGTGAGGAGGCTGGCTTGTGTGCAGAGGAGAGTGGGTTGGGGCCCTCCTCTCCTAGTTCTCACTGGGTCTGGCTGCCCGGGCCTGGTTGTCTTGAGCCAGGTCAGGGTGGTCAGCTGCGGATGAGTCTGGGGTCCTGCTGGATGGCACCCTGCTCAGGGGGGAGGGGTTCCACCCTACTTTGCTGTGTCCCTTGCTTAGAGCTCTATGCTGCCCAGCCTGTCAGCACACCCTTCTCCCATCCCTCAGACCCCTCCCCCACACACACAGGCCCCCTCTCCTGGGACTTGCCCACCCTCTGGGCTTTGCCAACTATGTGGCCTCTCTCTTCCTCATTCCTTTTCTTGGGCCTCTCCCTTTCCACACCCCTTTCCCTCTCCGTTATAAATTCCCACTTTCACTGCTCTGCGGATTCAAGTTTCTCCATGGAAACCCCAGGTCCTGTGTCTCAAGGTGCCTGCATCCTATAGCAGTACTATCTCCAGGAAGCCAGAACCTTCCTGGGGGGAGAGCAGGGAAAAGGGCAGTCTGGCTGAAAGAGACAGGCTGGGAAGGAGTGTAGGGCCTGGCCTGCAGTGGATGTGAACCTTAGCCAGTTGGCTGGACAGAGGAATGGACAGTTTGGGAAATGGAAGAAGATGCAGTTGAAGGGCCTGAGCCACTTGGGAGGCTTCGGCAGCCCAGACATGGTGATTTGGCCGCTAGCTGGCATGGCTTGGGGAGGGGCTGGCTTACATGCAAGGTGGAGCTCCTCAGCTTGCCCGCAGCAACAGAGGAAGCAGAAGGAACAGGGCTTTGGTCAGCCTTGGTTGTGACCCCTCGCTGGCTGTCTGTGCCTGAGGTGGCCTCTCGGCTTCCATTTTCAGTTTTCAGGGAGGAGCTGATGTCAGTGGAGCCTTCACTGTTAACTCACATGGCATCTCTCACAGTTCCTTCCAGACTTGGGTACATCCACTCCATTTAATAGGTGAGAAATCCGAGGACCTGGCAGGCAAGTAACTTGCCCAGAGTCACACACCTGTTAAGTGGCAGAAGCAGAATTTGAACTCAGGTCTGAGTCTGGCACTTGTGGGTGGGCACCTAGGACTTCAGACCTCTGGCTCAGACCCATGAAGATGGACCCACCAACCCCTCTCAACAGATGCCTTCAGTGTCCGCTGTGCACTGGCCGTGGGGCAAAAGAGGTATGGACGCTCCCCGGAGGAGCGTGGAGTCAGGTGGGGCAGGCGAAGCAGGAGGTGGGCATTGGGGGGGTGCTGACGTCACTGTTCATACCTGGCCCTTGGCTGCCCTAGGCAGGAGGAGGTGGGCTGTCTGGAAGCCTTTTGGAGGGGTGAACAATCCCAGGAGCACCTAGGGAGGTCACCCAGCGGGGAAGGAGCAGCCCAGCAGACACCAGGACTGGAGGAGTGTGCCAGAGGGCTGGATGGCGAGGGCTAGACAGAGGAGTGGGCTGGGCCAGACCTCTGCCCTCCACGTTCCTGGTCACCTCCAGACCCAGATCTGGCCCAGGGACTGTGTGCCCTTCCTGACTTCTACAGGGGAGCAAGGAGGAAGCCCAGGAGACAGAAGCCACGCAGGGAGCGATGAGAAAACGGCCAAGGGAGCCTGGAGGTGCAGACTGGGCCCAGGCACTGCTGGCCACTTGGCTCTTGAGCGAAGGCCCAGGGCCTTTTTCCATGAGTTTAGACCCACTAATTTAGGGACATGCTTCCCAGTTCTGCCCCTGCAGTCGAAGCTAGGCTGGGCACTGAAGTGGAGGGAAGGTGTGGACAGGAAAAAGTGGCCCTGCAGCCGGACACTGAGATAGGGGGATGAATGCCACCTCTTCCCAGAACATTCTCTCCCCACTCTGGATCTGGCCAGCCCCTTCATCCAGGAAGCCCTCTGGATGTCCCCCAGGCTGGGACAGGTTCCCACCTCATACATGGCCATCAGATGTGGGAAATAAAGGATGGGGAGATGAGGCTGGCCCCAAGGGCACTGGGGAAGGGAAGGCATTCCCATTGCCAAGTGGGGGTTAAGGCCAGGCCACAGAGCAGGAGAGACTCCCTCCCTCTAGCACAGGGGCCCGGGGAGGCTGGAGAGGCTGGACCTGGACAGGAAAGGCCAGGAGGCTGGGTGGAGGGTGTGAGGGGGCAGAGCCCTTGGTAGGGGAGGTCACAGCAGGTGTCTAGGCAGGCAGCTTTGAAACCTCTGGGGAGTCCAGGCTGTGAATACCGAGGGAAGGATGGCAAGGTGAGGGCAAAGATCTGGGCTGAGTGCTGGGAGGGAAGGGAGGCCGGGCAGACCTCAGATCAGGGCCTGCTGAGGGGGTTCCCAACATCACACCCTTCCTGTTTGGGACGGAAAAGACATATGAAGGGGACTCCAGGAAACAGCCAGGGGAAGTGTGTGTGGATTTGCTGTGGCAACTGGGCCTGTGTCTATAGGATTTGGCAGCCTGGCCTGGGCTTGGGCCTGAGGGCCCAGGGAAGGGCTTACTGGGGGGCTGTGCAGTCTGCAGGTGATGCCAGGGGCTGCACCTGGAGCTCCGGCCACAGTCCAGCCAGCTGGCCACCCACACCTCCGTGGCAGGAAGGGCCAAGGATTCCCGAGCCACCCATGCTCCTCCCTGGGGCAGTTGGTGCCAAACGTGTGGCCTGACATTTATAGGGCAGTCCACCCCCTCACTGGCTCAGCATGTGCTGTTCAGGGAACCCCACCACATCTGCTGCCTAGGGCTATCAGAGGAGCTGCCTTGAGGTGGGGCTCGGCCTCGTCTGGCCACCCCACCGCCCCCAGCTCTGGCATGGCCAGCCTAGGCCGCCGCTCCACTGGCTGCCAGCCATGGAACCATGCCTAACCCACACCAACTCTGGGTACTTCCTAAGGGAAAGGGGGGTCATGTCCCACAGTCCTGAGGGTGAGGCCCCAGAAGATCCCTTTGGGCTCCCTCCAGGGGACAGGCTGAGGAGGGACCCCGATGGAGCTGGCCTGCCCTCCTGCGCAGGCTGCTCAGAGAAGGGGGCTGGTGAGGGGCTTTCCTGAAGAGGGGCTGTGGTGGAGAAGTGCAGGGGCTGGGCCGTTCTGGGCAGATCGCTGGTTCCTCATTGGGCGGTGAGTGCACCGCAGGCCCCAGGAGCCCCTTAGACATGGATGTGGGTAGACAAAGACCCCTGGGTCTTGACCCCTGGCTCAGGCGGGGCAGGGGACGGGCTGCTCCTGCACGGACCCTAAGCATCCGTAGGTCCCACTCTCCCATCAGCCTTATCCAAGGTGGACAGCCCCATTTCCATCAGGACCTGGGGGCTTTTCTCTTTCTGGGATAGAATCCCTGAGTCCCTCCCCTGGGCTCTGCTGAAGCACCTGGGAACAGGAGGTGTGGGGACTTGGCAGGGAATGGGGAAGGACTGAGGGGAAGCCCTTTCTTGCCCTCCCCAACTCCCTAGTCGGCCCATCCCACACGGCTTTTCCCAGTTTGAGAGAGGCCAGGCTCTGGGTTGGCTGAGGAGTCTTGCTCTAGTTGACAACTTCCTGCCTGCCTAAGAGCCTCAGGCTGACTGTGGGGTGGGGAAGAGGCCTCCTCCTCTGGGGGCCAGGGCACACCCCCAGGACGGCTGGGCCCAGCCTCCCTGTAGCCCCAACCAGGGGAGTGCTGCGTGTGCTGTTGTGTTTCTGGGGTTTTGGCCTCCAGAGCCAGAGGATACTGGGGAAGACTTTTATTGCGAAATGCAGCCCCCAGGGACCGGCCTGAGGGCAGGCCGAGGGCATCTTGCTCAATTCTGAGATGCTCTGGATGCAATCTCTGGTTCTGGTTCCGGGTGGGCGGGGCGAGCAGGGTCTTCCCCCCACCCCCCTGTCCAGGGCTGTGGCTGCACACTGAACCCTGTGAACCAGGAAATGGTTCCCTCCCTCCTTCCCTCACTCAGCTTGGTTCACGGGCCGGTCTTATACATCCCCTACCGGGTCCTGTGTCATCGCTGCGGGCCTGACCGCTATTGGCTGTCTGCGGACTTTCCGGCCTGATTTGCATGTTGCCCTGCGGGGCCCTGCGTGCCTTTCTGTTTGCTTCACTTCAGAGTGCAGGACAGCCAGACGCCAGCTCTCCCAGGCTGCAGCAACAGGCACTTGGGCACCCGGCACCAAAGGGGGGCAGGCAGCGGGCTGGCTGAGGTCCTGGGGGAGCGCCTGCCGTGGTCCTGGCCACCCGGACCGTGGGTGCCGCTTGCTGGAGCCAGCAGCTGGCTTCTTGGCCCTGGGAGCTTGCACTGGAAGGAGCAGATGGATTGTAAAATCCAGGTCAGTGTCAGCCAGTGGCCTCCCTGTGACACCCCCCACTTCCGCCCCCGTGGTGCTAAGGCTGGAGCCAACCCTGGGTTTCCCAAAAGGGCGGAGCTTTTCATGCTGATGCGACGAATCTTGGAGCTCCCACTCTCCACTGTCTGGGCCTCACCGCAGCCAGAGTGTCCTTACCCCAAGCAGGGCGGCCCCCAAGACTTCCTGCTTAGCGTGCAGACTTGCAGCGGGGCTGGAGGTGGGCTTCTGGACAAGCCCCTTTCACCCCTCTGCCTGAGGGCCTGGCGCTGCCCACTCTCAGGAGCCCCCGTCTCACCCCTGAGAGGACAAGCCACCAGAGAGCCTGGGCTGGGGCAGGCAGCCAAGCCCCTCGAGTCACAGCAGGGTGAGTGGTGGGCAGGACAGGGGGCCTTTGGCCAAGCTCTCAGGACCCCCTATATAGCCAGACCCACAGGGGCTCAGAGCCCTGTGGGGGAGGTGCCTCATGGCAGTGCCAATTGCAGGGGCCAAGAGCCACCCTGTCAATGCCTGAGTCTCAAAGTTTTGGGGGGTGGCGTGCAGGTGGCATTTGAAGGGGTGGGCGGCTTGGGAGCACAGTGCAGAGGGCTGGGTATGCTTGAGAGCCCACCCCCTCCCTGCAGACCTGCAGGCCGGGTTGGGGGACCATTGGGTGGGCCCCAGGTCACACTGCTTGGCCATGGGGGGGTGGGGCGTGGATGTTGCTAGATGGTCCAGGTCAGGAGGACCTGGTGTGGAAGGTGCCAGAACCAGCTGGACTGTACAGTTGCTCTCTGCTGGACTCACAGTAGGGGGCAGAGAGCATCTCCCACCTTCTCCCACAGTGTGGGGGGCTTAGCAGCCCTTCCCCCCCTGGAGCCTCACAGTCCTGCAGGACTCCAGACCACAGAGTGGGCCCCTGCCTGCCACGCGGCCCCAGGAGCAAGATGAGCCTGACCTCCTAGAGCAGTTCCTGATGCTGGTCTGATGGCTGGGCCGGGCACCAGGCAATGAGCCCACAGTCCAGGGGATGCTGCTGGGGGTCTCCTGAGGTGGAGAGCTCAAGTGGGCCTGTTGACAGCAGTCCTGAGCGTCTGGCCTTCCTCCCCGTGGGGAGCTTGGCTTCCGGGCGTCTCGTGGCTCTCAACACAGCCGACCGCTGCAGGGGGAGACTGTGCTCCTGGCTACAGACTGTTGAGGGTCCTGACATGGGGAAGACCGCTCCCAGGGGGTGCCTGCTGATAGGGCCACCACAGGGTGGGCGCGGTCTCAGGAATGGAGCAGCTCTCCCTGGGGTCCTGTCCTAGTGTGAGCTGCTGACTGGGTCTCTTTTTCTTTCTAATCTCTTCCTATTCTGTGGGTACACCTGGGCCTGGCCAGCTCTTTCAGGGCCCATCTAGCCCCTCTCTTCTTGGATGGGAGTCACCAGAGACCTGGGATGATTCCCACTGTGCCTTCTCCCTGCCACCCCAGCCCTTGAGACTGGGTCACACTGGGGCACCCTTTGTTCCTGGAGTGGGTGACCTGTACAAGGTCAAGAGTCGGAGTTCTTCGCTCCTCCCCCGCCCGAAGGGGCTTTCTGCATGTGATGAGGCTGGTGAGGGGCTGGGCTCCAAGTACGTCACCCACAGGTTCTCTGCGGGCACGGCCAGCATCCCCGACATCCTGCAGACCAGGTGGCTTCGGCCTGACCACACCTGCCCTGGCAGGAAACAGGCCTGTGGCTTTGTCCTGCTGTGTATACCCAGCCTTGGCCCCAGGGACATTCAGACCTCGGACCCAGAGGAGCAGACAGAGCAGGGGTGAGGGGCTGTCCAGCTCTGGGGTGGAGCTGGTGGGCTTTTCCGAAGGACTAAGCCTTAAAGCAAGGTAGAACTGAGTGTCAGCTGCCTGCTTGCACCCAGGGTCTCCTCCTTTCCTCTGGCCTGTGCACACCTGGGACGGGAGGGAGGGGAAGGGACTTTGCCCGCATGGACCTGCCCTTGTTGGGATTGGTGGTGGAGAGAGACTGAAGCATGCCCTGTGGTAGACTGGCCAGAGGGGGCCTGCCTGTGTGGAGCGGCCCCACCAACCTACAGGGGCTTGGCCACCATCTCCAAAGCCCTTCATTTGTGCTCCACCCATAGGGGATGCTGCCCGAGGACCTTAGATGCCTCTCTAGAGCATGAGCTCGGGCAAGAGCGCCCGCTACAACCGCTTCTCCGGGGGGCCTAGCAACCTTCCTACCCCAGACGTCGCCACAGGGGTAAGGGGGACACCCTCGGGGAAGGATCTGCCTCTGTGCACACTCCACATACCCAGGGCCCCAGAAGAGCTTCCAGAGCAGTCCTCTCCCTACCTTGAGGTCCCTCGGGTGGGCCATGCCATGTGTGTGGTTGGCATGTCTGAGTATATGCACACATGTGGACTCATTAGTGGGAAAGCATGTCAGCTCATGTCCACGTGTGTGTCCACATCCTCGCTGGGGTCAAGGCCAAGTCTCATCTGTTCTCTCTCCAGACCAGAATGGAAACGACCTTCGGGCCCGCCTTTTCGGCTGTCACCACCATCACAAAAGGTGAGCCTGTGAGCCCAGGCCAACCTGGGTTGGGCAGGAGTCCCTCATCCGGCTCCCTCCTGTTCCACTGCCGCATCCTCCTTCCACACCCCCACATCCTCCTGCACCTGCCTCCCGGGGCCTCGCCTGCCGCCTCTCTGGGGTGGGCCGCCCGACTTCTCTGGCACCACTTTGCACACCTGTCCTTTATCAAGTGACCCCTGACTCGTCCCACCCAGGCTTCTAGCAGGCCCTGAAAGGTCAGGACTGGGGACCAGGCTGGGTATGGGGAGGTGATAAGAAGTACTCACGGGGTCCTTTCCCAAGTCTGGTCCCATGGTTGAGCCCTCAGCACTGTGTGTTCTGGGAGGTGGTGAGGAACTGGACCACGAGGGCACAGCCTCCTTCCCGAAGACATGAAGGCATTGGGCCCTTCCTGTCAGGACCGGTGCTTCTGGGGAGCAGTGTGTGTTCTTTTGCCTTTTCAGGACTCTGCCCCTCGTAGGAGAACACCAGCTGCTAATTAGTTTTTTAATTGCTTTTCCACGGTATCTTCTGGATACACTTTTCGGCAGGGTCACCAGGCCGCCATGGACATCTGCTTACACAGGCTCCCCTTAATCGCATCACCCGAGTAATTGTTCTTTAATTTCTTATCCAGCTTTAGAAACCATGTAGCACCCTGTCGTGGCAGTCAAAAGCTCCTGGACAGAGAGTAACAGGGGCCTGTCTCGCCCGTGGCCAACGCAGCGACTCCCTCAGTGTCAGGGATGGTCAGAGCCAGTGACCAGGCACGAACAGTTGCCTCACCCAACCCCTCTCATTACAGACAGAGAAACTGAGGCCCAGTCACAGGGCAGCCATTTGAAGCCTGGATCATGAACCAGGCCTTTGGGGCTGGTTGTTGTGACATCTGGCCCTGGCTGGGGCCTGAGACCAGTGTTGGCCACTGTAGGCCTCTGGCTGCTGCCTTCAGGGCCTGTGAGGCTGGCTCCTATTCCCATGTGGACCCCTGACCAGTGCCTTCTCTGGGCAGCTGGGGTGACGTGCAGGAGGAGGAGGGCCATGCCTTCAGCAGCCTTCCCTGTAGGAGGCCAAGAGGGCCTGTGGCCGGTTCCTGATTCTGGCCGCACCAGGGGAAGAGGTGGGCGGAGAGGGGACCTAGACCACCAGGCTGCCATCCTGGCCCCACCATGTACCAGCTGAGGGGCCTTGGACCTCTCTGCCTGTGGGTGGCAGGGCTGGGGCTGGGAGCTTTTGGACTCAGCTCTGGGACTGTCCAGGGCAGGCTGAGCCCTGCGGGTGAGCTGCAGGCACTGGTTAGACCTGGGGAGGCAACCACAACCCCCAGCCCAGCCTCCGCCCCTGCCTGGCCCATTTGCGAAGGAGCCCACTGCCTGCCACGGTGGTCAGGCCTCCCCGTACGGCCCCGCTCGCGGCATCTCAGCCCTGTTTTCTTTGCAGCCGATGGGACCAGCACATACAAACAGCACCGCAGGACGCCCTCTTCCTCCAGCTCCCTTGCCTACTCCCCACGGGACGAGGAGGACAGCATGGTAGGTCTGCACCTCGCTCCCCACTCCCCACCCCTCCAGAGCCTGCCTCCCACCATGCCCTCCCTCCAGGCGCCCAGGGCCCAGGAGGAGCTGAAGGTGGAGCCTCAGCCGTGAGCTCAGGTCTGAGGGTGAAGCGAACTGGTGTCAGAGGCCCAGCATGTGCGACACCCTGAGGCCTGAGCACCCATGGCTGGGTTTCCAGAGAGAGGTGCTGGTGAAGGTGGCTGAGCCAGAGGGTGTGGCGCCTGCAGGTTGAGAGGAGGCAAGTTTGGCTCCATCTTGTGGGCGTGGGAGGGTAACTAGATCAGATCCCCTTTTTAAAAATATTTATTTATTTATTTATCTTGGCTGCGTTGGGTCTTCGTTGCTGCACATGGGCTTTAGTTGCAGCAAGTGGGGGCTACTCTTCTTTGCGGTGCGCAGGCTTATTGCGGTGGCTTCTCTTGTTGCGGAGCACAGGCTCTAGGGCGTGCAGGCTTCAGTAGTTGTGGCTCACAGGCTCTAGAGTACAGGCTCAGTAGTTGTGGCGCACAGGCTTAGTTGCTCCACGGCATGTGGGATCTTCCTGGACCAGGGCTCGAACCTGCGTCCCCTGCATTGGCAGGCGGATTCTTAACCACTGCACCACCAGGGAAAAAACCCCATTTTTAAAGCTTCATCTGTTGCTGAGCAGAGGATGAATGGGTGGGTTGTCGGGGGTGGGGAAAGATGGATAGGCCCAGGCTGGGGTCAGTGAGGAAGGGCTTTGGGTCAGAGTTGGAGCTGGCTGTCGGTACCCAGGCCGTGTGGCCAGGGTCACAGTGGCCATTCCCTGTTTGTCCGTCCTCGCCCAGCTCTGGGACTGCTGCAGGAAGCGAAGGCTGGCCTGGCTGGTGGGGGTGGGACGCGAGCACCCTCCCACTGCCACTCACCTCTCCTCTGCCTGCTTTCTGCTTTCCCTCAGAGCCCCCGACAGACCCCGGCCAGTGCTCCAGCCCTTCCAGCCTCCCAGCGCCGAAGGCTTCTCCTCATGCTGGGCAACCAGGCCTTTGTTTCCTATTTAATAGGGAGAAAAAAAGTATTTTTAATTATTCAAACAAACACGTTTGCGTGCCCAGCACTGCACTAGGCCCTCCCTAAGCACGAACTCCCCCTTCCCTTGGGCTCTGCCTGCCTCGGTCTCCGGGACCTGTGACCTGCCCACAGAGTGAGGCTGGGAACAGAAGGCTCGCCTGCCCAGCTGGGCCTTGAAGGAAGTGAATTCCCCGTGCCTATGGTTTCTGGAATCCTTGGGTTTTGGTGGCTCTAAGGAGGTAGGCGTGTGCTGTGAGGGCCCTGAGCCGCGGCCACCTGGGCACCATCTCTGTTGGATGTTCAGCCCGCACAGGCTGCCCCCTCTGCTTGCCCTGGGGAGCCGGGCCTTCCCCCAGGCCCTGTACTTTAGGGCTAGCTACCCTGCCCCCAGCCCAGGCCTGGCAGCCACAGCCCCTTCACTCAGGAGGAGTGGGAGCCCAGCAAGGGGCAGGCGGGCAGGGGGGCAGGGGGCTAGGGGGGCAGGGGAGAGCAGAGCCAGGCCAGGCCCCGTATGCTCAGCCCAGCTCCTGTCTGGACCTGTTCTCACCCTCTGGTTTCCATCGCTGCCCTGGGGATAATTTGACTCACTTCTTCTGATTTCCCCTCTTGTTCCTCATGTGGCGTTTCCATGCAAACATGTCACTTGAGATGCTGTGACGGGAGGTGGGTGCTGCCCTGGTGAGGGAGGTCCCTGTCTGCGGGCATGCTGGGGACACTGATCTCTGCTGCACCCTCTCGGGGACACTGGCCCCTGGAACTGCCCGGCCAGCCTCCCTCTGCCCACTGTGGGTCCCACATCCCGGGTTGGCGGGGAGGGGATCATTCCAACAGTCCCCACACCCACAGAGGCTCAGACAGAGGCAGCCAGGTCCCAGAGTGGCTGGGACCTAGAGGGGGCAGGTGGGCTGGGCATGGAGGCAGGAGGTTTATGGCTCATGAATGAAGCTTCGGGGCAGGAGGGGAAAAGAGTGGGGAGCGATTGCTCTTGGAGTATCTTTTCTGGAGGGTTCCAGGCCCAGAGAGGAGGAAGGGACAGTACCCCTTGCCCTGGCACTCCCCCAGATCCATGTTTCTGGTGGCTCAGACAGAGACGAACACCCGTGGCCCCCCCTCCTGCTCTCAGAAGCTTGGTTGGGGTTTGGTGGGGGTGTCCCCGCCTCCCCCCAGGGAGCCTCACTGGCCTGGGCTAGTGTCCCCGGCCAGGACGGCCAGGCGGGTGGCTGAGCCCAGCAGGCACCTGGAGCCCTGCAGCTTCCCGCGGCCAGCCTTCCACCCCCTTCCCTCCAGCAGTCTGGGGGCCGTGGCCACCCCCGCCCCGGGATTGGTTGGTGGAGGTGTCCCCTCTGCGGCCTACATTCCCTCACGGGAAGCAGGAAGCAGGCCGAGCGTGTCCTCGTAGAATTGAATAGCAGGAAGTCTCTCCATTTACACAAAGAAAGTTGGCAGATGTGAGCAGGCCTCCCAACCACAGGGCCGGGACTGCCAGGCAGGCGGGGCCTGGGCGTCACACCGGCTCCCCCGCGCACAGCCGGGCCGTGGGCTAAGTGGGCGCCCGCTGGGATGGGGGTCCGAGCCCGGCCCTCCTGCCAGCTGACGGCCTCCTGTCTGCCCAAAGCCCCCCATCAGCACCCCACGCCGCTCTGACTCGGCCATCTCCGTCCGCTCCCTGCACTCAGAGTCCAGCATGTCCCTGCGCTCCACATTCTCGCTGCCTGAGGAGGAGGAGGAGCCGGTAGGTGTGGCCGGGCAGGCTCGGGCAGACTCCAAGGGACCCTCCCGGTCCTGAGGCGGTGGGGGCACCTTCCCCTCAGGCCCTGATCGGGGCCCCTTATCCGCACGGGTCCACGTCAGGGATGCGGGGGGCTGGGCTGGGTCCCCCAGGCACGTTCTTCTCACTCCCCACCCCAGGGGCTGCCCAGGCATCAGCTTTGGGAATGAAAGGCGGGTCCCATGTGGGTCCCTTTCTCGTCTCTGTCCCAGGGAGAGGGTAGGTGTCATGGGGTGAGGGCATGGCTGGAGGGGTCCTTCCTGCTCAGGTCTGCTGGAGCTCAGGCCCAGCTGTAGGCTTCAGCGGACTCCTCCTCTCAGGATACATCCCGGCAGAGGTGCTTCCACCCCAAGAGGGCAGCCCAGGCCCGCAGAGGAAGGGGCTGGGGCCCTGGGTGCCCACACTCATGTCAGCAGTCCCAGGCCCCACCCTCACCCAGCCCCGCCTGTTCTAGGAGCCGCTGGTGTTTGCCGAGCAGCCCTCGGTGAAGCTCTGCTGCCAGCTCTGCTGCAGTGTGTTCAAGGACCCTGTGATCACCACTTGTGGGGTGAGGCTGCCCCTCCCTGACCTGTGCACCACCGTGAGGCCCCTTTCATGGGGAGCCTTGGCCTCGCTCACAGGCCTGGTCTGGCCGCCCAGCAGGTGCCCTTTGCAGTGGGCACGGGGTGGGGGCAGCTCTGCGGCCACACCCCAATCCGCCCATTGTCTCCACAGCACACCTTCTGTCGAAGATGCGCCTTGAAGTCAGGTAGGGCCCTCTCAGCCTAGGCTCAGCCACCTTTATTCCCCAGCAGTGGGAGGTCCCTCCGGGGAGGTCCGGCCTGGGCCCAGCACTGATGGAGACCCTGGCTGCACAGCCGCTTCTCCCTAGTCCCCCTGCGGCAGTGGTTCCTGGGTGACTGCTCGGGCCAGGCTTGGGCCAGGCTCAAGACCTTGACGAGCAAGGCAGCTCAGAGCCCGCCCCACGGCGGGTGTGGGTGGGCCTTCTGGGCACAGTGCCCACTCTCTTGGATGCTGCCCCTGCTGTCAAGGCTGCCGGCCTCACTGTCTCAGGCCTTAGCAGCTGGCCCAGGACTGGCCCTCTCCATGCTCTGTCCTCAGCTCTCTTGGCCCTGCCCTAGACTCTCAGGTCAACTGAGAGGCCTCTGCCACCACCTGCTCACCCAGTGGTCATTCTTGGTGGCCCAGCCGTGCACCCTTTCCTGTTATGGGTGCCCCAGAGGGGAAGGTAGATGGGTGGATTAGGCCCCTGACAGAGGCTCAGCCCACCCAGCTGGGGGAGCGTGTTCCAGGCCTGCTGCCCACCAGGGAATGGTCTCCTCCAGAGCAGCCTGGCCACAGTGCCCAGGGCAGGGCTGCTAGGGGAGATGGTGGCTGGGTGGGCTGTGGGGTCAGCATGCCCTCCCCCCCAGAGAAGTGTCCCGTGGACAATGCCAAGCTGACGGTGGTGGTGAACAACATCGCAGTGGCTGAGCAGATTGGCGAGCTCTTCATCCACTGCAGGCACGGTTGTCGGGCAGTGGGGGGCGGGAAGCCCACTGTCTTTGAGGTGGACCCCCGAGGGTGTCCCTTCACCATCAAGCTCAGCGCCCGGAAGTAAGTGCCCTCCTCCATCCCTAGTCCCCACCCCCCAGGGGTACTGAGAACCGGTGCCCCTGGGGACTCAGCCCCCCCGCCACGTCCCACCTCCCCCAGGGACCACGAGGGCAGCTGTGACTACAGGCCTGTGCGGTGCCCCAACAACCCCAGCTGCCCGCCCCTTCTCAAGATGAACTTGGAGGCACATCTCAAGGAGTGCGAGCACATCAAGTGTCCCCACTCCAAGTACGGGTGAGTGGGCGGGGGTGGGCGCACGGGGCTGCCCCGGGGTGGGGGTGGGCGGACCTGAGGGGGCGAGTGGGCCTGGGCTGGCATTCACGGTCCCTCCTTCAGCAAACCTTGGTTGAGATGCACCTGTCTGCCAGGCTCTGGGGAGACGACCTTAGCGGGAGCCACATCATCGTCTATGTAATTACAAACTGAGGTACAGGTGCTGAGGAGACCTGCGCACCATGGGAACACGGGGGACGGAGCGGTCAGGGAGCTGCGGGTGGTTGTGGAAGGCACGAGCTGAGAATGAATGCATGCGTGGGCACGAGCCGGGCAAAGACCTGGGTGAGGGCTTCCGGCAGCTGGCGGAGTTGAGAGCAGAGGGGAGGTGGGGGTGGGAGAAGAGGCAGCAGCTGGCTCTTTAGGGCAGAAGCTGGTGAGGTGGTGGAGGAGCCCTTGAAGAGCTCTGAGCAGGAGTGAAGTGACTGGATTGCTGAGTAGAAGCAGGATGGGTAGGTGGGTTGGTGGGCATGCAGGTATGCAGAGGATGGTGGCCCATCGGGGCTGCAGTGGGCACAGAAGTGGGACTTGAGAGAGATTCTTGGGGAGGCAAAGGGAAGGGCCCAACTGGGCGGGCAGTTGAACAGGTGGGCAGGGCAGCTGTCCTGTCCCTCCAGGTGCACGTTCATTGGAAACCAGGACACGTATGAGACGCACTTGGAGACCTGCCGCTTCGAGGGCCTGAAGGAGTTCCTTCAGCAGACGGATGACCGCTTCCACGAGATGCACGTGGCACTGGCCCAGAAGGACCAGGAGATTGCCTTCCTGCGCTCCATGTTGGGCAAGCTCTCAGAGAAGATCGACCAGCTGGAGAAGAGCCTGGAGCTCAAGTTCGGTGAGAGCCTGGCCCAGAGGTGGCAGGGGTGCAGCCCCTCCTCCTGGTCCCTGACACCCTTCTCCTGGTCCCTGCTACACAGATGTCCTGGATGAAAACCAGAGCAAGCTCAGCGAGGACCTCATGGAGTTCCGGAGGGACGCGTCCATGTTGAATGTGAGCGGGCAGGGCCCTGATGAGGGAGGTGGGGTGGGGTGGGGGACACAGGACCATCTCTCAGCTTGGGTCCCAGCAGGAGGCTTGTTCCCACTTATGATTAGGTGTCTGTGCTGGGAGGGCTGTTGCTGCATCTGCCCTGCCCTGGCAGAGCTCAGGCCTGGGGCCATGGAGGGCTGTGGAGCCCCGCCCACCCCACCCTCTGCTCTACTCTTGGCCTCGCAGGACGAGCTGTCCCACATCAATGCACGGCTGAACATGGGCATCCTAGGATGTGAGTATGGGCCCACTGCTGCTCCTGCCGCCATCCCCGAAGCCCCCTCCAGTTCCCCCATCACCAGTTCCCCCATCTCTCTGCAGCCTACGACCCGCAGCAGATCTTCAAGTGCAAAGGAACTTTTGTGGGTCACCAGGGCCCTGTCTGGTGTCTCTGCGTCTACTCAATGGGGGACCTGCTCTTCAGCGGCTCCTCTGACAAGACCATCAAGGTGGGTAGGGTCCTGCCTAGGGGCTTGACAGCCTGGCGGGGCAGGGGTGGGCATTGCACACTAGCCTCTGCTGGCTCCAGGCCTGCCTATGGATGGGGCTTTCTCCCCTCCCCCATGCTCACATCATTCCTGCCATGGTGCCCCCTGCCACTGGGCTGACCCTGCTTGGACCTGCCCTGATCCTGGTCTCTGCAGGTGTGGGACACATGTACCACCTACAAGTGCCAGAAGACGCTGGAGGGCCATGATGGCATTGTGCTGGCACTCTGCATCCAGGGGTGAGTGCAGGCACACGTGTGTCCACAGACCACAGGGCCCATGTGGAGCTGGGGATGGCAGGTCCTGTGGACTGTGAGCTTGAGTCCGTGGCTGCACGTGTCCTAGAGTGGCTCTTGTCTGCTCCTCCTGGGAGACGCCCTCGACCCTGAGCAGGGCTGAATCATGGGTGGCAGCATGTGGGCCTTCCACCTCTGAAGCCATATATTCACAGAGCAGAGCCTTGGCCCTGGAGAGCCTCAGGCAGCCAGAGGACAGAGGTGGGACCAGAGAGTGGAGGCAGGGGCTCAGCTACTGCTGGCCGACATCCAGAGCCCGGGGCGCAGCACCACAGAGAAGCCTGCCTGGCCACCCCCTCACCCCCAGGGTGCCCCTTCTAGACCTTCCCTCCTGTCTTGTGTCATGAGGCTTCGTGTTGTGGGCGTGAGTGTGTGAGTGTGTGTGTATGAGAGAGAGATGCTGGCTCACAGGAAGCAACAGCTTGACTGCCAACAACACTAACAGGGGTAATTACCTCCCAGCTCAGCTGTCAGATGCTTGCCAGGCAGGCACGGGGCTGGGCCTCCACTTCCAAGGTCCCCTCGCTAAGGCAGGAAAACCGAGGCAGCCTCAGCAGTGATCCTGACAATGGCCCAGGCTGCTGGTTCCCAGTGGCCAGTGCTCCCCCAGCCTGGCCAGGGCATTGTCAGCGAGGGTACTGGCTTCTCGCACCCTGACACCTTGGCTTTGCTTCCCCAGGTGCAAGCTCTACAGCGGCTCAGCCGACTGCACCATCATCGTGAGTGGGGCCGGCGGGTGGGCCGGGACCCCCAGGCTCGCTGTGCCATTGGGGCCTGGGCTCGGCCAGGGCCTAAGGCTTCCCGTCCTCCCTCCCGCCAGGTTTGGGACATCCAGAACCTGCAGAAGGTGAACACGATCCGGGCCCACGACAACCCGGTGTGCACGCTGGTCTCCTCACACAACATGCTCTTCAGCGGCTCCCTGAAGGCCATCAAGGTCAGGCAAGGTGGTGTACATGTGTGCGGGGCGGCAGGGTGCCAGGGCCTGCCCCCAAGGCCTGCGCTCACGGCCGCTCCCACAGGTGTGGGACATTGTGGGCACCGAGCTGAAGCTGAAGAAGGAGCTCACCGGCCTCAACCACTGGGTGCGGGCCCTGGTGGCTGCCCAGAGCTACCTGTACAGCGGCTCCTACCAGACAATCAAGGTGCGCCCTCCCTGTGCCGGCTCCGTCTGCCCTGCCCCCACGCTGCCAGCATGGGGAGACCCTCACATGCACCCTGGGTGGTGGGCTGCTGAGAGGCCCAGGGGATGAGGCGCCTGGCCTGGGACCAAGTGGCCCGCACTTGCCCATAGATCTGGGACATCCGGACCCTCGACTGCATCCACGTCCTGCAGACATCTGGCGGCAGCGTCTACTCTATTGCCGTGACGAATCACCACATTGTCTGTGGCACCTACGAGAACCTCATCCACGTAAGAGTGGATGCCAAGGGACAGGGTCTGACTCTGGGCCCCTGTCTTCCCCGTCTGTGTCTCTGACCTGCCTGTGCCACCCCCTCAGGTGTGGGACATTGAGTCTAAGGAGCAAGTGCGGACCCTGACAGGACACGTTGGCACTGTGTATGCCCTGGCGGTCATCTCAACGCCAGACCAGACCAAAGTCTTCAGCGCATCCTACGACCGGTCTCTCAGGGTGCGAGCTGGCCTACCGACGGTGGGAGGCTCAGGGCGGGTGCCAGGCCTGGGCGGTCCTCATGTCCCATGTGCCCCCAGGTCTGGAGTATGGACAACATGATCTGCACACAGACTCTGCTGCGTCACCAGGGCAGTGTGACTGCGCTGGCAGTGTCCCGGGGCCGGCTCTTCTCAGGAGCCGTGGACAGCACCGTGAAGGTCAGTGCCTTGGCTCAAGCCATCCAAAGGGGCTGCATGGGGGGAGCGGGGGGGCGGGGGAGTTGGGATCTAGCGGCCCTGGGCAGGGGGCAGTGAAGGGCGGGTATGGACGGCAGCTGGCTCTGGGGCTGGATGGCCAAAGGGGCACCTGAAACAGAGCCTTTCCCCTGCAGGTGTGGACTTGCTAACAGAATCCAGGCCAGGTCTTGGCTTCCTCTGGGCCTGACCTAGGCCTGTCCAAGTCCAGCGAGCCACATGGCTGGTCTTGGGGGTCTCTGCCTGCCCCATGGGAGCAGGCAGGCAGACTCAGCCAGGCAGACAGTGCCCTCCCTGCCCTGCGCCCAGTGAGCCTCCCTCTGCTTGGCCTTGTCATCGTCACTGCCAGGACAGTTCCCAGCCTGTCTGGGTGCCAGGTACGACGCTCACCAGGCCCACCCTCCATCCCCACTCCAGATGGACTGTGGGCCTTTTTACTCACCTTTTCTACTGTTTTTAGACTGTATATAAATTTGATTACTTCCTGATTGAAATAAAAGCTGCACAGACTGTGGCTTTGAGTGGGGATGGTCCTCAGGGGGAGGAAGAGGCCACCTGAGGACACTGGGGAGCACAGGCACCAGCAGCCAGTGTGAGGGAAGCTGGGCAGGGACCACAGGAGGCTCCTGTTGATATCCCCAGGATGTACACTCTTGGTGACTTCTCCCTGTCAGGAACAGGCTAGCCCCCCACTTGCCCCAATGTACATACCCCAAAAAAGTGAGCCAGGCAGCTCCATATTCTGCTGTTTATTGACAGCTGACAGTAGCTCCCTGCCCGGACCCCCCCTCCCCACCTGCTGGCCCTGGCCTGGGCCACCCACTGAGGAGAGGCCAAGTAGCTGGCCAGGCCCACCCACCCGGTGACGTGCCAGCACATGACCACTGGAAGGGGGCCCACACACCCAGGCACCACCTTGGCAGACCCCCTCAGCCCACCCGAATCACAATTGCTGGGTTTCGGCGCTTTTTAATTCTCTTTTTTGTTAAGAAATGTCAAAGTTGTGCCCAACACATGTGGATCAGCAGACACGATAGAGGAGGCCAGTCAGTAGTTTTTGGAGGGGGGAGACGGAGGGAGAAGGCGAGAACGACCACACAACACAGCCTCAGACCATGAGCAGAGCGTCTGTGGGAACTGGAGCGGGGGTGGGCTGGCTGTGCGGGGCCAGCTCAGGGCCCCAAGGAGGGAGGGTTGGGCACACCCTCACACGCACCACACACAGCCTGGCATGCATGCCCTGCACCCACTGCTGTCACCCAACTGACGCGCCCACGTTCACACTGTGCACACAGCTCTCCTGAAGCCCAGATACACCCTAACACCCGCACCCATGGGAGAGGCAGAGCCCTCCCCACTGTCTCCACGGCGTGGATGACACAGCCCAGTGGCGAGCAAGGCACATCCTTCAAGTTCTTCAGATGCAGAGAAGTTAGGAGAGAGAGCAGAGGGAAGGCCCTGGCGGAGCACAGACCCCTCCCCCAGACCCCAGCCTCCTGTTTGTGCTACTGGGCCCGGGGGTCTGGCCACTCCTGGACAGAGGGAGGGAAGGATAGACAGACAGATGGCCAGGGTCTCTAACAGCTTTTGTCTTGAGCTGGACTCCAGCGTCCTTGCAGTTGGTAAATGGTTTTCTATAGAATCAATAATATTTCTTCTTTCTTTAAATATATATTTGTTAAAGTTATACCTTTTTGTTTCTCTGGGGAAATCTGCCTCAGCTTATTCCCAATAAATTAATACTCTTCGATAGCTTATATTCAGGGAGGGGGGTGCAGTGGGGCAGGGGGCCCAACCCCAGCCCCTTGTGCTGCGCTGGAGTGGCTGGCAGAGGTCCCCAATGGGCAGTTCTGTGCTGGGCATAGGCCTGTGCTCTGCCACAGATTGGGGAGGGGGCTACAGCAGCTGCCCCCCTCCCGCTGCCTCCCAGGGTGGACCCAACCTGGACTCAGGGCAGGGGGTTCAGGAGTTTCCCCTCCTCCACCCACAGCAGGCAGAGCCTGGTGGTGGGTGGGCAGGTGGCCCAGCAGTTATTGCACAGGGAGCAGCAGATAAGGAAGGGCACCCACAAGGCAGCAGCATCTGCCCAGAGCCCTTGGGTCCACCAACCAGGCAGTCCTCCAAGCTGGGCCCAGGGGCAGGAGTTGTGCTTGTGCGGGAGCTGGACAGAACGGCCCACCCCCGCCTCGTGCCCGCGGCCGCCTAGCGGGCTGCTCCCTGCGCCCCTCCCCCTTGGTCCACCGCCCTGCCCGCTCGCGCCGCCCCCGGAGGTACCCATCCTGAGGTAAAGGTCAGTGTGCGGGCCGGAGCCCAGGCGGCGCGGGTAGGCCCAACTTGGGCGGCCGCGTCACTCCAGCATGGCGTCCAGCTGGTCGGCCAGGTCGTCAAACATGCTGCCAATGTCGTCCAGGATGCTGCCGGTGCTCTTCTCGGCGACCGAGGGGCTGGGGGCGGGCGCAGCGTGAACTGGCTGGGTCGACGCAGAACTTCCAGCCCCCATGTCCCGCCCATTCAGCGCAAAGTCCCAACCTCTCGCGGAGGCCACGCCCCCGCATTCAGAGGCGGGGCTGGATCAGCCCACGCCCTCCCCACATCTGCCCCGCTCCGCCCCCAGCCCACTCACAGTAGCCTCTGTCGGGGGCTGGGGCAGCTCGTAGAGCCCCGCCCACGCCAGGCCCTGCCCGGCGCGACTCGGGCCCGGCGCGACTCGGCCCCGCTCTCGCAGGGCAACCTCCAGGTGTGCACCCGCCGCGGGGGCGCACAGCCCCCCCACCTACGCCCACGCCGGACCAGGTCCTGCACCTACCGTGAGCCTTGCGTGTCCTCCTGCCGGATCTTCTCTTCTACGGCTTGCAGCGCCGCCGCCAGGCACGCGCTTGTCTCCTCAAGCTTCTGCCTGGCGCTGTCCCCCGGCGAGGCGCCGTCGGGCGCGGCGGGGGGCCCGGCTGCCGCTGCAGCAGCGCGCGGCGGCTTGGCGGGCACGTGCAGCGCGGGCACACCGGGGGACGGGGGCCTGGCCGGGCTGGCACTCAGTGAGGGTGGCGTGCTGGCGGGCTTGGTGAGGGCAGCAGGCGGCTGGCGTGCCGGCGAGGGCGACGGGCTGGCGCTGCCCGACTGCAGCCCCGCCGCTGCCTTGGCCGGCTTGGGCGCCGTGGGCGGTGGCGGCGGCTTGGGAGACACGGGCGGCGGCGTGCCGTGGGCACGCTTCACCTCTGTGGGGAAGAGGAGAGTCGCACCGGGGTGGGATGTCGCGCGCTGCCCATCCCGGCATAAGCCCTGCCCAAGCGCCCTGCCTCGAACCCGGGATTAGAGATAACGCCCTTTGCACTGCCGCCGGGCTCCAGCTCCAGCCCTCCGCGCCCCCCGCCCCCCGGCCTCCCTGAGGCTGCCAGGGGGCGCGTTTCCCTGTGCAGGCCTGCTTGGGTCACTGCTTCCAAACCCCGCCTGGTCCGCCCCCCACCTCCATTCCCCTCCAGGTGTGGCCTGTTGCAGACACCGGCCCTTCCGTTGCTTGAATGCCACAGGGCCTTTGCACCTCTGATCCTTCTGCCTGGAAGCCTCTCCCCTCCCTCCTGTGCTTGAGTCATTTTACAGCCAGGTCAGAATCCTCCCTTAGCCTTCCAGCATCGTGGGCCTGTCCTCCTTCCACAGGTGCTGCTATTCATGGGTTTCTGTGTCTCCTTCGCTGAGGAATGTAAGGATCATCCACCCTTGTCTCAGCTCTCGGTGAAGTGGTCCAGTGGGTGGATGGATGAGAGGGTCTGAGGATACTTTCCCACCCCACTCCACCTGGCCTTCATCAAATCCAAGAAATGGAAAACCCCTCAGACCATGGCATGGGGAGCTGGAGGAGGGCCCTTCCCCAGCTGGCTCCCTGCAACCTACCTGGGCTGCCAGGACCTGGCAGTGGCACCTTCTTGGAGGCAGGTGTGGGTGAGCCCTGGATCTTGGGCACGGGCTGAGCCAGAATGGGCTTGGGAGAGACAGGTGGCTTGGCCGGCTTCCGGGCATCACTGTCTGGCGGGGGCAGCGGGGGCAGGTGCAACAGGTCAGAGGGCGGGGGCTCAGCGGGTGGCGGGGGCGGGGGCAGCTCTGGGGGCCCAGCCTGCTCAGAGGCCGGACGGCGGCGCACAGTGCCTGTTCCATTCTGGTACACGGACAGCGGTGGTAGGGGAGGCTCGGGACCTGCCTCCCTCTCCTTGGCCTTGGGCCGGCGCTTGACCGTGTCGGACTCCGTGAGGATGAACTTGACATTCTCCTGCTGGCTCTGCTTGGCTCGGATGCGCCTCTTGAGCGTGGCGCTGGCCTCCACCCTGGCCAGTGGTGGGCCCTCCACACCCGCCTCACCCTTGGCTGGACCTCGAGGCCGCTGCCGGGTAGCGCCATCTTCCACAAAGTGGCCGTGATCTGCAGGCCCCCCTGGCTCTCCCGGACCCCGGCGAGCAGTGGCCAGAAGTCCTGTGACAGGCCCACTCAGTGTGCGGCGCCGGTTCACCACCTCGCCGTCAGGCCCAATGGCCTCCTTGTGCTTCACTGAGGCCAACACCGTGGCCACCCGGCCTGGCTCTGGGCTGGCGGGGCGAAGCATGGGGTGGCCCTCAGGGGGCCTGCGGGCTGCCCGGCCCCCACCCCCAATGGATGACAGCTCGAGCATGGCTGCAATGCTCTTCACGCTGCCAGCGCTTCCTGTGTCCACACTGCCAGCCAGGTCACTAGCCCGCCGGCGCTGTGCCCGGACCCCCAGCCGGCCGTCCTCAGTCCCAGACACCTCGGTCTCCGCATCTGGCACTGACTCATCAGCCAGGTTGGCACTGGCCATGGATGAGCTGGAGCGCTTGGGCGGGGGTGGGGGGGGCCCCTTCTTTCGCGGCCGCACAGCGAACGACTGGCTGCGGTTGACGTTCTTGTCAGCGCCAGCAGGTGCCCGCACCGAGTGGCTGCGGCCCACGCGCCGCTGGACTGTGGCGTAGGGCCCCACTGTGGCCGGCACCAGCAGCTCGTCCCGCTCTGGCTCGCTGTCAGACGCCGCATAGCGATTCAGGCTGTGGGCGCGCTTCTTGGGCCGCCCTGACTCCATGTCGGCCTCAGGGGGCAGGCACAGCGTGGGCACAGGCGTGGGCACGGCCGCAGGCGCAGGCCCCGGAGCAGCCGGCCCTGCCTCACTCTCCACGGGTTGGGGCAGCACGTAGGCAAAGCCACGGTGTGTGGGTGATTGAGGCAGCGAGCGAGGTGACATGGGTCGCTCCATTGGTGGCAGCAGCTGTGGGGTGGGCTTCACCTTGGCTGTGGCTGGGGCTGGGCCATGAGGCCCCCCCAGGGCTTGTGGGGAGCCTGGCCGGGCTTTTGTGGGAGTCTGGGGGGGCGTGAAGTGGCTGGTACCTGGTGGAAGGACCTGCCGCAGCTTGCCAGGCACTGGGGGCACACTGGCCCGCTTGACGCTGTGGCTGTGGCGGCTGGGCCGGGCCTCCTTGTGCGGGGTACCCGGGGCCGGCCCCTCCTCCAGCAGGTACTCCTGGCTTCGTGACATGGGGCTTCCAGGCCCTGGGGGCCCGTTGCCTAGCAGCTCCTGAGAACTGCTCATGTGCCGTGCCCGCCCACCCAGGCTGGGCTCCTGCCGCATGGAGGCCCTTGGGGTGGGCGGCAGGTGGTTGGAGGGCTTCTCAGTAGGGGCAGCGGCAGTGGCAGCCCCTTCAGCCGGGCCCATTAGGGCAGCCTGCAGCTCACCGCTGAGCTCACTGTCCTGGAAGGTGGTCATCTTAGGAGACTGGCAGTCAGCCGGGGCAGGCTCGGGTGGGGGTGGCGACTCGATGGCCATCACTTCAAGTGACTGTGGTACCTTCCGGCGCAGGGGTCCCCCCTCATACTTGGCGTACTCTGCCTTCTGCAGCTCTGCCAGTTTCCTCACTGCCAGCATCAACTTCTTCTGGTGTCCTGAGTGGGGCGGGGGGCAGGTCAGGCCAGGGAGGGTGGCGGGAACCAGAAGGCAGTGGGGGCGGGGTGGGCCCTCACCCAGCTTGGTGATGCCGATCTCCTGCAGGTCTTCCCAGGTGATGTCGGTGATGAAGTCGATGTTCTCGTAGCCATTGTCCACCAGCACCTTGTAGTACTGTGCCAGGCCAATCATGGACAGCCACATGGCCAGGTTAGCCTACGGAGAAGGGGACACAGAGGGCAGCCCGAGCTGGCTGCCCACACCCTGCCTATTACTCAGAGCTGTCAGAGGCGAGGGCACCGGGCCAGCCTGGCACAGAGAGACGGAAGGACAAACAGGCCCGAGGCGTCAGCTTTGGAGACAGTGCAGCCTTGACAGGAGCCCAAGGCCAGCTCACACACATTTGCGAACATATGCAAACACACACAGAGGGGCGACTCTCTCCTCAGGATACCCTTTGGGGGAGGGGGAAGAATGCGCTTCCGGCGGAAGAATGTGCTTCCTCACCTGCCCAGGCAGCCATGGGGACAGCATCCACGTGGACATACCACACACGTCATGGACACAGACACACAGCACCACCGACCAGATACGTGTATACACACACCCTGCATCCCAGCCATCCACGGGCACTGACACCCCTCTGAGTCACGCTCACGCCCTCTCACCACTTCCCCACCAGCATCAGGCACACGTCACACAGCCTCGCCACACGCCAGGCAAATATCTGTGATGGTCTTCACACAGAACCACCGGTGGCTCCCTGAATGGCATTCACCCGTCCACACTCCCAGCTGGATGTCACTCATGCACCAACACAGGACACTCGGTCACCTCCTTGGGTGCACAAGCAAAGTGAAGCCCCTGGGACCCGGACATGCTGGCTGGGAGGACCCCTGAGCCGCTGACTGAGTGGGGTGAGGCAGAGTGGATGAGCACAAACCCACCTGTCACCAACCCACAGCCCTGGGGCTCTCGGTGGCCATGGCATCTCCCTCACAGACGGGTGGGAGCCCAAAGCACAGCACAAGGCCCAGAGAGGCAGCATGGATGTGACAGGCCTCGGGCCCACCTTCTCCCAGCCCAGAGCCTGTCCCACCACAGAGTGCCTGTTCGTGACAGCATGGGCCGCGGCTGGTGTGGCTGTCAGCCAGTGTGTGCAGTCTCCAGTGGGCGCCTTGAATGTATTTAGCATACGCGTGCTGTGTACCTGAAGCACGCACAGGCGTCTTCCTCATACATGTGCCTGGGTGTGTGCAAGCACGTCCCATCCCCATGGCCCCCTGCAGTGTCTGCGTGGGTGTGTGATGGGCAGTGCTGTGGTGTGCCGGGTGGCTCCGGTGTCCCTGTGTGGCCGCCTGAGTGTGGAACACACAGTGGAGATGGGGACTCTCCAGGCTTCAGGCTCCCCTTGCCCGGACAGCCCTCAGAGGCGGTCACCACTGCCCCTGCCCCTGCCCCAAGGAGGCGGGCCCCAGTGCCCCTGACGGACAAACAGAGGTCATCCTCTGCTCTCCTCTCTCTGGACTCCCCGGAGGCCAGGGGTGGGCTGTAGCCAGGGAGGCAGGCTGTCTGTCTGTCTGTTTGCCCAACCTGGGACTGGCCACTGGGGTGCAGGGGGCCTTACGGGTTTGTGCTCAGGCAGCCAGTCGGGGATGCTCAGGCCGCTGATCTCTGCAGTGATCTTCTTCCGGTGGCCTGGCTTGGTGACCCCGATGGCCGTGAGGTCCTAGGTGGAGGAGAGGCCCATTAGCAGAAGGCTGGGGGCCCACCTCTGGGTCAGCTGGTAGACAGCCTTCGGGCAGCTCACCTCAGGGGTCATGCGGCTGATAGTGGGCAGGTCATAGCCGGCGCTGATGAAGTTGGGGGCGTAGAGCTGCAGCTGGAACGTGGCAAGCCACTGTCTGACAGCCTCGGCGCCCTGGAAGACACAAGGCACCCACTGCAGGCTCGCCCGCCTGCTCCCCCGCCAGGCATGCACCCCAGCCACCGCGGCGCCTCCTTCTCTGCTCAGCTGAAGACCACGCAGCACAATCTGCTGTCCGCTGGGCCGTCTGCAGCCAGGCCCCATCAGCTTGGCCCGGGTGCTCCTCCTCACTCTGTGGTCCTGGGTGCCGCTGTCTTGAGCATCGTCCAGCACCTCGGGCTCCTTCTGTGATCTCCACCAGGAGGGTCCAGCTGCTGTCCACATCACAGGCCTCCCTGACCATCCCCCCCATTCCTGGACCAGGGACACCCTGCAGTGTGGCCCCGTGTGAGGGGCTCTGGGAATGGGGCCTCAGGCAGGACAATTTAGTGCTTCCCCTCTACGCCCCAGAAGGTGGGCTCTACCCAGAGGAATGAAGGAGGACTCAGCCAGCAGCTCATGCCCACCCTAGCACGCAGGTGCATGCACACAGGACCTGTCTCACCCACATACACACCTTGGCTCGACTCACATCCATGCCATTCCACACACACACACACATGCGCACATGTGCCCGCATTACAATCACACCAGCCACACACAAACACACCCCCACTCACCTCACACCTGTGTCACACTTCCTAGACACACTAGCTTACACGCACAGTCTGTACAAGAGACAACAGCTACACACACAGACTGACAGACCAACAGAAGGACGGGCCCGGCCTGTCAAGGGCCACGCTGCGGCCAAGCCAGGCAGGCTGCCCTGGGTGTCCCCCAACCTGCAGCCGGCCCAGGCCTTGTACCTTGCCCTCCGATGCTGTCTCCAGCTTTTTGGATGGCTGCTCCCCATAGACCTGCCCAGCATGGGTCACTGGAGTCTGGGACCGGGTGGCACCTGGGGACGAGAGGGTATGGTGGGGCAATGGCTGCCTGGGGGCCACCTCCCGGCCAGGCCAGCAGTGCTGTGTCCTTGCTCTTACCTGAAGAGCCCTCCGGAGGCTTGACAGGGCTGTCCCCGGGGCTGGAGTCGGAGACAGACTTCTGGGAGAGCACCGTGGCCAGGAGCTGCAACCCAGACAGGCTGGCTGGCCAGTGCTGCTCTAGACACAGGCCATCCCGGTCCTGCCACCAACCCACCTACCTTGACCCCTTCAGAGCCCGCGTGCAGGGTGTGGCCCCCGCTGCTCCGGCCACTGGCCACACTGCTCAAGCTGCCACTGCGGTCCCCACCTGCCAGCAGGAGGGAGCAGCATCAGCTAGTGCCAGCCCTGCAGAGCCCAGGTACTGCCTTGCAGAAGTGCCACGGCCACCACCCTCCAGAGGCCCCCACCTACCTGCAAATGGCTTCCTCAGCACCCAGATCTCCTCAGGGGGTGCAGAGGGTCCTGCTGAGCTGCATCCCTGGGGTGGGCTTGGTTCGGCACCTGCTCGGGAACCTGCGGGCCAAGCACAGTCTCCCTGAATCCTGGACTGGCCCAGGCCTGGGGCATCCCCTGGCCTGGCCCCCAAGTCTGCGCAGAGCAGAGGCTGGACACACACGTGCCTGGGGGGTCAATACAGCCTCCTCCTGCCCTGTGTTCGAGGAGCTGAGCGACCCTCAGAAGGCCCTTCCCAATCTTGGACATTTGAGAGCAGGAGAGCATGGCAGAGAGGGGTGCAGGCCAGGCTACCCTGTGGTCCTGTAGGTGGGAGTAGGGAATTGCAGGAGGGTGCAAACCCCTCTGTGCCTGGGGAGCAGGGGGAGGGAGGAGGCCCCCAGGAGCCTGGGTCCCGGCTCCTCACCCCAGGGAACTAGATGACCTTGGGTGGATTGGCCACACCTCCTAACTGGCTCCCCTCTGCCCTCTCACCCGGCCTGTCAATCTCCATATCCTCTCTGTGGGGTAAACCAATCACACCAGTCCCCCATCTGAAGCCATTCCATGGCCCTATGGCCTCATCCTGCGCCCCCTCCCTCTCTGTCACCAAGTCAGCCACACTGGGCTCCTTTGGACCCTTACACAGTCACACTCTGTCCTGCTTCAGTGCCTTTGCACGTGTGGTTCCTGCTGCCTGGAATGCTCTGCCTGTGGCCAGCCCCTCCCACTTCTCAGGGCCTTCTCTGTCCACACTTGTCTAAAGTGGGTCTCCATCTGCAATCTCTGTGTCACTGGTTGGTACGTTTCCTTCCACATTTATTTCACTGTTCCCTTCTCCCCTCCCTCCCCAAGGGCAAGCTCCTTGGGAGCAAGAATGACGTCCATCTATTCCTAGTGCCTGGCATGCAATGTCTGTTGAATACATAAAGGAGTGGGTCTGGGGACGCTGATGAGGAGACAGCTGGCAAGACACACTCTGGACCCCACACCTAGCAATGGCTAGAGCTGACAATCCTTACCCTACCACCCAAAACGCCGGGCACCTGCTTCCTTCTGGCCCGCGAGCCCATCCCTGGGTGGGACTTGCCTGCTCGCTTGACGATGGCCTCGCCCAGGGAGGACGGGAAGTAGCCCACACGGTCATTGCCTGTCCTGTTGTCATGGATACAGCCCTTCCACCGGCCGTCTGGATGCTGCTCGAGGACCTGGTCAGATACGGTGGGAGGAGCATGCTCAGGGAGACACCCCTCCATGTCAAGTGGGTGGGTGGCCTTGGCCTCCTGCTCAGACCCCCCAGTTGCTGCCAGGTGTTGCGGGGAGCATCCCAGGTCCCATTCATCCCCGTTCCAGCAGCCCCAGGCCATCCTTACTGTGATAATGTCCCCAGCTTTCACGTTGAGGCTGGTCAGGTCGTAATTGTTGCAATAATCCTTGGTTGCCCGGACCTGCAGGGCTGCCGATGCCTCTGGGGACACAGGAGGTGGCAGACCCCCCAGTCCTGTGAGCCGGCCTGGCCCAGGCCCCAGCCCTGCCCCCCTGCCCCGCCTGGGCCCACCTCGTAGCAGCTGCTTGATCTCCTTGCTGGCCTGGGAGGTGGTGAATTGGTGCACGATGTCCAGGGCCGTCTGGCTGTAGGTGTTCCTCACGTGGGCATTGATCCCGTTCTGTATGTGCCAGAGGGTGAGGACTCTCAAGAGCCCCCTACACCCCCACTTGACCCCAGCTCCCTCTGGCCCCTAACTCACATCGAGCAGCAGCCGAACCACTTCCGTCTTCCCACAGAGTGCGGCCTCATGCAGGGCCGTGCCGGACTTGGTCTGGCGGTTAATGTCAATGCCAGCTTGGAGGAGGAGTCTGACGGGGAGGTAGGAGGAGCAGGCAGGGCCCTGCACAGAGAGCCCTCTGCCCCAGCACCCCCAAGCCGGGCTCCAGTTCCTGGGGGCTAAGGATGAGCTAACCCTGTCCCACATCCCCGACAATCCCTCCCTGTGTTAACCCTTCACACTCTTATCTCGTCTCATCCTAGTGTAGGCAGTGCTGCGATACCCACTTTAAGGATGGGGAAACTGAGGCTCAGAGAAGTTAAGAGTCTCCTCAAGGTCACCCAGCAAGTGGCACAGGCTGTGGGGCTATAGAAGACCACTCCCCACCCCCCTCCAGTACATCCTTTATGTGGGCAGCTTGAGGCATCCTTCGTATCCAGAGACCTGACCACATCCCCACGGCTCCCTGGCTGCTCCTGTCTTATTGCCAAGCCAGGAGCAGGAACCCCAAGGCTGGGTGCCCCTTACCCCGCCCCCTCCCCACGGCCATACCTGATGATGTCGATGTGGCCGTTCTTGGCTGCCAGGTGCAGGGGGCTGGTGCCATTGGGGTTGGTGGTGTCCCCTGGCCGGGGCTCTAGCAAGGCCGCACACATGTTGCTGCTCAGGAGCAGCTGGACCACCTGGAAGGAGGGGTCAGAGTAGGGGGGCCCAGGAATGGGGTGGGGAGCTGCAGTTTGTCTCCCACTCCCACCCCAGGAGAAGAAGTTGGAGTCCTACTCAGCTCCCTGGAGAGACTTACCCCAACACGGCCGAACTCACAGGCAAGGTCCAGGGGCGTCTTCCCCGAGTTGTCCACCATGCACGGGTTGGACTGGTGCTGGAGCAGCATCTCAGACTGCAGGGACCACAGGGTGTGGTCAGGCCCAATGCATCCGTCGGGCTCATTCTGCCCCAGGCACCCTGTCACCCTTGAGGTGGTCCTTACCACATCGTAGTGACCATGCTGGGCCGCCAAGTGCAGGGGGATGTGGCCCTCATCAGACGGGACATTCACCGCTGAGCCCGCCTTCAGCACCAGCTTCATGGGCTCCTTCCGGCCCTGCCAGGCCGCATAGTGTAGCGGCCGCATGCCTGGGGGCAAGGGGGTGGTTGGGAGCTAGCCCCTGACCCTGAACCCAACCCTGACTTCTAGGACGCTGATCCCATGAGAACCTGCCTCAACCCAGACCAAGACCCGGGGCTGAGACCTCAGTTGAGGGGCCTCCAGGGACCCCACTTTTGACCTTGACCCCCACCTCTGGCTTTGAGGTCCCTGACAGGCCTTGCCTTTGTTGTCCTTGATGTCCACAGCAGCCTGGGCCTCCAGCAGCAGGGTGATCAATTCCGTGTTGCCATTCAGGGCTGCGTGGTGCAGGGCAGAAAAGCTGGGACAGGTGACAGATATGTATGGGCAAGGAGCCGGGCACCCTGCCTTCCCCAGGAGTCCTTGACCCCCATACCAGACTGACATCTCCCCGGGCTGAGAACTCACCCATCTGGGTCTTGGAAATTGACATTGATCTTCTTGGTGGAGCCCAGGAGCTCTGGGGTGGGAAGGAGACATGGTGAGGGAGGCTCCGTCCAGCCCCTACTGAGGCCTACCTGGGTCCCAGCCCCCTCTAGACAGATAGCAGGCAGAGAGTGGCTGGCTAGCTCCCTGGTAGGCTCAGAGCCAAAGCTATCTAGGTCTTTAGTCTAGAAACGTTCATTCATTCAACCCTGTTTCCAGCACTCAGCATCAGGTACCAGCTTTTGGCCCTTGGTTTCCCACTGAACTAAGACTTTGGGAGGTTCACAGGCCCTGTCCCTGTCTGGGAACAGAAGCCAGGGCTGTACACCCACATAGGCGCACACATGTGCACATGAACCCCCCTCCCTTGAGACGCTGGCTGAGCACCTGCCAATGGTGGGAGGGAGAGAGCCAGCCCAATCTGTCTCTCAGAAGGACCCAGATGGGGCCGGGGGTGGCCCAGGAAGGCTGGAACACCCGGAAATGGGGGTATCTCTGGGGAAGATCTGCATTTCCAGGGTTCAGCCTCCCCCAACTCCCGGCCCCGGGCCTGGCCTGTATAGATAAGCCCCATTTGGCAGGGCAGGATGGGGAGGCAGGCAAGTGGGCCAGTGCCTCCAAGCAACCACATTACAATGGCCCCCTCATCTATGGGGGCATGTGCAGGCCCCAGGGTCAGCCCACCTGAAGCCTGAGGGGCTCCAGCCCTCCCGGGGTGCCACAGTCTCCTCCCGGGGCGTCCCCAGTCCTGGCCTCCACCAGCCGCCTGCCAGAGGAGGGGAGCCCACCGATGCCCTCCCCGTGGGCTCAGGTCCAGCCGGACTCGGGCCAATCCCCTGCCTGTCTGGGCCACGGTTACATAAACCATTTGTGGGTCAGTCACTCTGTGAGGGAGGGGCTGGCAGGACAGAAGCCCCTTTGTCCAGGCTCAGGACAGGGATGGGGGCAGGGGGCTGAGGGAGTCGAGTCACAGAGGGGCTGCTGCAGGGCCTGCTCTGTGACCCACAGCAGCCCCGGCTGCTCCAGCCTCGGTTCTCAGCTTTTGGATATAGGGTGTGGGTCCCCCAATGGCCCACAAAGTCAGACGGGCCTGAATTCAAATCTTCCCTCTGCCCCTTACTAGCCCTGAGGCCTTGGCTGTGAGCTCGAAGGGTCTAACAGAGCCAGCCTCACAGGCCTAAGGGCGCCTCCAGACAACACATGAAGGGTCTGGCACAGAGTCAGCTCAGCACGTGGCAGTTCCTAATACTAGCCCTATAGGAATCCCACCCCACCCTCCCCAGTGAGGGGCTTCTCCGGTGAAGAGCCGAAGAGCCGAAGGGCTGAGGCTCCAGGACGAGAGGTATCTCCACTCCCCTGCCCCTCCCCCCGCCTCAGACACTTGGCTGATGCTAAAGGCTGTCTAAGTTGGCAGCAGTGCCACCCCTCCTTCCCCGTGGTGGTCCAGGGCAAAACCTTGGAGGCAGCCCTGGGTCCTTTCTTGAGCCCTTATATCTTCTCCATTGGTCAATCCTGTTGGCTCTACTTTCAAGACACTTTCAAAGCACACCTGGAATCCTACCCTTTCTCACCAGCACCATCATCACCACCCTGGGCCAGGCCAGCATCCCTCGAAGGACCACTGCCATCACCTCCCCCTGGCATCCCCACTTCCACCCTGCCCCCTCCAGTCCATCCTCCATACCCACTGAGGTCAGGGGGACCCCGTTAGAACATGGGTCCGGTCCCATTGCTCCTGTCTCAATGGGGTTGGAGGCCAAAGCCGGACAATAGCCCTGTATGATGCAGCCCTCCCTCCTTTCACTTCGACTTCCTCCTCACCCCTGTTCCAGCCACCTGAGCCTCCTTGATGGCACTCCAACACACCTGTCTCCCCTGCCACAGGGCCTTTGCACATGCTCTGTGTGTGTGTGTGTGTGTGTGTGAGCCATTCTTCCCTCAATTATCCCCATTATTCCCTCTTCATGTCCTTCAGGTCTCTATCCAAGACCTGCTTGTCAAAGCCTCCTCCCCCATCTAAAATGGTAATCCCCTGGGAGTTTCCTCGTGGTCCAATGGTTAGGACTCGGCACTTTCACTGCCATGGCCCAGGTTCAGTCCCTGGTTGGGGAACTAAGATCCTGCAAGCTGTGCGGTGTGGCCAAAAATAAAAAATAAATAATAAATAAAACGGTAATCCCCTTCCCATCTCGTGTCTGTTGTATTTTCCTCTTTAGCCCCCATACCACCATTTATCTTGTTTATTGTCCGTCTCCATCACTAAATTACAGGCTCCAAGAGGACAATGGTTTTTATCTATTTTGCTCACTGCCGTATCCTTGGTGGCTAAAACAGTGCCAGGTGCACACACAGTGCTCAGTAACTGGTGACTGAACTGTACCCTCATCCCACACACTTTGTCCACCTGCCAGAGCTGGCTTCAAGTGTGTCACCTGTGCAACCACTCAGAAGAGCCCGACCTGGCTGGATGCTCTGCTGTCGTGAGATTGTTATTTTGTTTGTTTGTTTTTTGGGGGGGGGTTTGGCCCCATCTTGTGGCATGCAGAACTTCCCCGACCAGGGATTGAACCCGCGTCCGCTGCAGTGGAAGCATGGAGTCTTAACCACTGGACCACCAAGGAAGTCCTATTATTTTTTTGGACAAGTCACCCCCCCACCATTTTCATTTTGCGCTGGGCTCTGTGGATTATGCGGCCGGGCCTGCCACGGTCCCTTGTTGTGAAGCTGAAGGGAGCCCAGGCATCGCTGTCCCCCAGCACCCCTGCCTTGCTCAAGCCCACCCTCAGCACATTCCCCCACCAAAAGGCTCTACCCCCCGACTCTAATGTCTGCTGCCCCCCACCCTTCTTCGTTCCCATGTAGCCAGTTCTCAGCTTCTCCCCACAAGACTTCCCAGGCCAGCTCGCTCTCCTCCCTCCCGCAGCCGGGGCGCCCAGGCAGCTACGGAGCCAGGTGCTCTGAGTGGCGCCCGAGGCCAGGCCCACCTGCTCACCCAGTCACAGCTGCAGGTGCTGAAATCTCAGAGGGTTTGGAGGTTGAGGCCCAGGAAGTGACACAGACACCAGTGGGGAGAGGGTGTCTCCATCCAGAAGGGGATCACTCCCCACAGGAGAAGGAGCATCTTGCTAAGGTCATCTTCCCCGCCCCCCTCCCGGCCGCTGGTCTCCTCAAAGAGGAAAAGTGCTGGAATTGGATGAAGGGGGGCTTGAGGTCTTGGAGCACCCCCAATTCCCATGGGGACACTGGACACCCGGGAAGGTCCCAGAACTGCAGCCTGCCTGGGGCTGGCGGGCTGCACCTCATGAAGACAGGTGCCCTGAATGAAGCTGGAGCAGAGCACAGCTTCAGGGGCCTGGGTAGGTGGGAGAGAGGAGGGAAAGTGGGGATAAGCTGAAGGCCCCAGGAGCCCCTTTCCCTTTTCCACGAGGGCACTAAGTCCTACAGATTGCCATCAGTCATAGTGCATATGCCTTGCCCCTGACCGCCCCCATGACTTGGGCTCTCCGGTCTCCTATCACCCCAGCTCTCTAACTGCTCTCCTGATACTACCCCTACCTTTGAAGTCACCTCCAAACTCCAGCTGCAAAGCCCTGGGGGGAGCCCACCCCAGACCCTTTTCCACTCTACCCTTGTGGCCTCCCTCCACCCCCTGCCAAGATGCTCCTCCAACCACGGAAGCCACCCACAAGCCACCTCCACAGAGCCACATCTGTCTCCTACAGGTACGTGGTCTTGGCCTCCTCTGCTCCCACCTCAGATTGGCTGAGCCCTGTGGCCTCCAGCATAGAAAAGCACCCTCTCAAATCCCCCAGGGCAGGCAGCTCTGAGCCAGACGCTGGAAGGGAACTCTTAGTGGGCCAAGGTGAGTGAGCACAGGAGCGCTGGCCGTAGTCTTCAGTGAAATGGAAGAAAGGGAAGGTTGGGCCAGAAGGAAGGGCAGGGTGTCTGCCCGCCCCCCAGAAGACCAACCTCCACCCCAGTATTTTCTCTCCCTAGCAGTCTCTTCTTCACTTCAAGGATGATTGCTAAGGGTGAGTGTGCCTGTGCCTGTAAGTGGAGGCTCCCTTCAGGCAGGATAGGGGTGCTGACAGAGCCTGGGGTGTCACTGGGGTATGGGGTGAAGGGAAGGTGTCAGCACAGGGAGGAGACTGTGGAAACAAGTATCGTGGGAACACCTCTGGAGTTGGGGGCCCCAGGGAGCACCGCTGGATGCCCCCTACCCCATGGCCCAAACTCCAGCTGTACTTTGCTGAATCAAAATACATCTTACTCCAAAGCAGGCCAGTGTTGCCATGACAACCGAGCTAATTCATGGAGGGATTTCTCCATCTGATTTATTCTGCCTGCCCCTGTGAGTCAGAGAGCCCAGATTCGGGTGCCAGGGCAGGTGTCTCTCCTACCCAGAGACCAGGCCATGCAGGGGCAAATGCAGAGATCTAGGCAGAAACACAGGTAGAGGTAAAGGTCCCCACACCTCCCCCAGATGGCCAGAGTAGAAGGGGGGAGGAGTCCCCAAATCTGGTGCCCCCCACTTCCTTGGCGCACCGCCCTGGGCCGTCTAGAAAATGGCCACAGTTAGCACTTCCGGAGCACTTACTAAGTGCCTGGGCTTCATGTGTGTATTCGCTGTTCTTACAACAATGCTACGAGGCAGGGACCACAAACGTCCCCATCCTACAGATGAGGAGACTGAAGCCCAGAGACTGGAGATGCCTGTGCCCAAGGTCGGATGGCCACTAGGTGGAAGACTTTGCCTTGCCTTCCACCTCTCAATCCCTGAGCCTGCTTTTGAGGCTCAGCTAAGGTTGTCTCTGCCTGAAAGCCCTGCCTTTCTGAACCCCGAGGCCCTGAAGCCAGTCCTAACTGGCAGACTATCCCTGGGCCTCCGGTGTGGAAGGCAGGGCCCACCTGTGTATGTGTTCTTGCGAGGCACAGATGTGCAGCTCTCTAATTGCACAGAGCAGATAGTAGCGGCCAGGCAGGGGCTGCAGTGGGAGGGGTCCTCCTGGGGCTCAAGGACCTACCCCCACCTGCCCCAGAGGCTGTCTCAGTTCTCAGCATCTCCCCTGGAGAGATGGGAGGGTACCTCCCTGGCTTACATACAGTCCCAGGGGGTGGCAGGGGGTGGCATGGGGAGTCGGGGCACCCAGACCCCACCTGCTACCCAGCAGAGCCCTGCCCGCGCCAGCACAGGTGCCCTGACACACTGACACGGACATACGTGCGCAGTCACACACGCGGCTGGTCCACACACCCATCCATCCATCTCCAGGGTCCCCGGGGGAGGCTCCAGGCTGAGCTGGGATGAGTGCTGGGATCAGGGCGCCAAGCTTCCAACCATCCCCTGGGACCCCCACAGAACAAGCTCAGGATGGCCAGTGGGAGACCCCTCCCCCACCAGTCTCCTTTTCCAGCAGGGAAGCCAGAGAGGACCAGGGTCTGCACCTGCCTCGAACTCAGCCTGCCCTGGGCTGGGCGACCTTGGGCCTCTGCTCCCCCTTCAGTAAATGGCCCCCAGCCGGCCATGCCTGGGCAGCCACACCCCCAGCATGGTCCTGCCACCCCCCCCTTCCCTGCTAAGCATGTTATTAAACATGGGGCGGGGAGGGGGTCTGACAGAGACTGTCAGCCCTGTGGTCTCCCCTTACCGCAAGAGGCCCCTCCCTCTCTCCATGGCGTGGGGAGGGAATCCGCCTCGCCCTTTAAAGGCCCAGAAGAGACCTCCAGCTGTCAGCCCGCAGCCCGGGAAGGGAGGGGAACGGAGGCAGGAGAGAGGGATGCGAATGCCTGCGGCCTGTGAGGTGGGTGCCGCCAGGTGCCCGCTGCGGGGCTCAGGTGACGGCCTGGCACTCGATGCAGCCCCTCCTTCAGTGCTGGCAGCGGTGGGCGCGGACGGAGGGTCTGGGCGCTGCTGGCCCCGCCCCGCCCCCGGGGACCCGACAGCATCCCCCTCCCCGCCCTGCACCGGGCGGGGTGGGGAGCTCGGCGCTGGAGACGGCCCCGGGGCGCGCCGCGGCTCGCGCCCGCTACCCGCGCCCCCCGTACACCCCGCACTCACTGGCCTTTCCGGGCCGCGGCCTCTGCAGCAGCCTCTGCGCGGTCCCCACGTCCTCCGCCTTCACCGCCTGCACCAGTTCCTGCTCCTTCCCCATGGCGCGACCGGGGCCGCAGCGACGCGGCTGAGCTCCGTGCGCTCGGCGCGGCTCAGAGGCGGTGGCGGCCCCACGGCACCCGCCGCATCCTTCTCCCTCCCCCGCAGCCTCCTCCGCCGCCCGCGCCCCTCGCTGTCCTCGGGCTCCGGCTCGGTCTCGGTCTCCCGGCGCGGAGGGGGCGGGGAGCGCGTCACGGGCGGGGGGCGGCCCGGGGGCGGGGGCCGGCGGCGGCGGGAGCTGGGCGGGGGCGCGGCACCTGGCACCGCCTCCCGGACGCCTGGGTCCCCCTTCCGCGGCCGCTGACCTCGGTGCGCCCGCGCCGGCCGCGCGCCCGACTCCTTGGCTCCGCCCCTACATTAGGACCCGTCCTCCCGAGACGCCCCCTCCCCATGTGCGGGCCGCGCGGCTCAGGCCCGGCCTTTGCTGACCCCCCGCGGCCCCGGCGACCGCCAGGGGCTAGGGACAGCAGCCGCCGGGGGGCCGGACACTGAGCCCCGACTCGGCGGCGGCGCCAGGCAGAGCCTGAGAGAGGCTTCCAGAGGCTGCGGGACCCACGGGGGGAGGGACTCAGGCAGTGGGCGGGCGGGGACCCGGGTATGGAGATACCCGGGCATCGGCGGCACAGAAGCCGGCCCGCCAGGGGCTGTCAGACATTTCTGGCCCGTGGTTCCCGTGGGAGGTGTCGAAGGACTGTGAAGAGGAATCTCCCAATAATGAATTCGGTGTCAGGGAACCCGCCCTCCCCCTCCCGCAACTGCACCTTCATGCCCTGCAGCCTCTGGCTCTCTCCACAAACAATGCTAGGCGACCCCCCACCGCCCCCTCCTCAGTCGAATCCCAACCTCAGTGCACCTGCCCAGCACCAACTGGGGTTCAGCCCCTCACACTTACCACTAAGAGGGGCTCGGCTCCCCCATCCCCAGCACCAACTGGGGTGTAACTCTTCAGGTCCACCACCCAGGGGGTTTCAGTCCCCCCATTCGCAGCACCAATGGGGTCACAGCCCTGCCCAGCAGCAGTCTGAACCCCACAGAAGCCTGCTTACCCCCAGCCTCCAGGCACAGATTCTGGCAGCCCCACAGGGAACTGTTCTGCTTGACACTCACCCTCCCCCGCCCCCCCACACACATCCAGAGGTCTCTCCCTTCTGACCTCCTGGGTCTTAGCCTCCGGTCCTCACCTTGTCATGGCTGCAGCATTCTAGAGACAGACTGGTTGGGGTCTGTGTCCCCGCTCAGGTTCAGTTTCCTCATTTGCAGGGAGGGGCATATCATCACCCCAACCAGGCAAGGTTGTTAGAACCTTGGGAAGGTTCACACATATGATGGCTGGAACCCCCTCCCCCCATCTCCCTATGGCCCAGGCCATCATGCTGGTCCAGGAAGAAGGTGGCCAGAGTGTGGAGGAGGGCAAGCAGCAGGCACTGGGAGTCCCTGATCTGGACAGCTGGTCAGTCCCCTCCGTGGGCTCTTCTGTGAAATTTAGGGAGCAAGCCTATGCCTCCCAGTGTGCTGGGCTCCCACAAGCCCTGTGTGGGTCCCTAAACACAAGGACCCTTCCCCCCACCCTTTATGGTGACCAATTCCTGGGCACCTGCTGGGTCAGGCACCATGCTGGTCACTTCATAGATGAGCTTGGACTTACTGTGCCCTTTTTACAAATGAAGAAAGTGAGGCTCAGAAAAGCCAAGTGACTCACCTGAGGTCCCAGAATCTCCAGGTCATGAGTCTGAGACTTTGGTGGGTTTTTTTTGTTTTTTTTTGCGGTACGCGGGCCTCTCACTGTTGTGGCCTCTCCCATTGCGGAGCACAGGCTCTAGACGCGCAGGCTCAGCGGCCATGGCTCACGGGCCCAGCCGCTCCACGGCATGTGGGATCTTCCCGGACTGGGGCACGAACCCGTGTCCCCTGCATCGGCAGGCGGACTCTCAACCACTGCGCCATCAGGGAAGCCCGAGTCTGAGATTTGAACCCACATCGGCCTCTTCATTTGTCCCAGATCTGCCTCTTACCAGGTTTGTTTTTCCAGTCACTTTGTCTTTCTGAGTCTCAGTTCCCCCTCCATAAAATGGGGGAATGATACCTCCCAGTAGATTATTTGAGGATTAACTGTGATGCTATTCATAAAGCATCTCACAGAACTTAGTAAGTTCTCAGCAAATAGCTTCTGTGGATATTGTGATATTCTTGGGCCTTCCTACCTGGGCCATCTGAGTAGCAGTTGCATTTTATTCATCTTCGTGTCTGCAGAGCCAAGCAGTGTGCCTAGCACACAGGAAATACTACCAAAAAAAAAAAAGATAGTTATTATCCTTACCATTATTTTCATGTTTTGGCTGGCTAAGGCAAACCACTCTGGCCTGAGCCTAACATTTTCAGGGCCTGGGGCAAGAGTACCAACAGAGGCCCACACACCAAATGTCTAAGTATTCAAATGTTATAAATTATGCTAATAATGTATTAAATAAAATATATTCTGTCATCCTACCTTGACAAATACACCTTCATCATGAACTGAAAGGCCAAGTTCTAGTTTTGAATTATCGCATAGCTCTGGGAAATGAACTGGCCCTTGCCTCCAGCTGCCTCACCTCTGTTCTCTGCCCACTTCCAGCTCCAGCTCCAACTCTACCCAACAAGCAGGTAGCCCTTAGTCACTCCTCAGACCTAGGCTTGGGCAACTTGCTGTGTGGTCCACCTTCTGGAGGACAGACCTGGGAAGAAAGCTGTACAGAGTCTACTAGATTCATCCTGGTAAGTGAGGCTAATGCCCTAGGAGGAGTCAGGAATTCTAGATCTGCTACCCACCAGCCCAGTGAACCTGGGACAAGCTCCCTAAGCTCAGCTGCCTCATCTGGAAAATGGGTCAGCAGCTCTGCCTGCAGTCCAAGGCTGATGGGAAGGTCCATCTGGAAACAGAGATGTGAATCTTCCTGGGGTCCCCCCAGCCTGGGGATGGGGGCAGCACAGCAGGCCATCTACTCTGGCTGGGGGTATGAGGATGCAGAGGCGTGGGACTTGGGCAGCCCTCCAGGAAGTCAGGCCTCCGAGGACAATCCCAGGAGGAGGGGCCGCTGAGCCAGCAGAATTGCTGAGGCTCAGCCTGGAGTAGAGCTGGCTGCTGCTTCACTGCAGCCTGGGCTCGCCCCCTTCCCAGCTGCACGGCAACCTCCCCCTTCCCCCGGCAGCAGCGCAACCCCTGCTCCTGTCCACCAGCTGTGCGCCCGCTCAGGGACTCCCTGGTACCCCTCCCAGCCCCCCAGAGCCCTGATGCCCAGCCCCTTAAGTATAAACTGGGGATGACGAATGTACCCTCCTCACGGGCTGCTGGGAGCATGAAGCATGATAGCTGCCAAGGTTTCCATCTTCTCAAAGATGCCACCTCTGTAAAGTGCTCAGCTGATGCTTGGTACATAAGAAGGGATCAACAACCATGGGTCCTATCTCCCTTCCTGCCCAGCAGAGATGCTGGGGCTGCTCAGGCTGGGCATGGAGCCTGGCCTGGTCTCTCAGTTACCCATAGGCATGGGACATGGGCAGCCCTCCACCCAGAGTCCCCACAAAAAGGCAGACAGCTCAGGACTTGCCACCCTGGGCCACAGATACCCCACAGACATCTGGCTGAGTCTTCCAGCCCTCCTTTGCTCTCACCTCTCTCTCCCGCTCTCAGGCTCTCAGGGTTTATCCTGCTCCAGACATCCTTCAGGTGCTAGGGTTCACAGGGCTCTTCCTCTCCCAGGCTTCCAAGCCCAAATATCCATCTGCCACTCCCCAGAGCTGCCTCTGAGCCTGGTGGAGCTGCCCTGGGGAGCTCCTCTACGTAGAGAGGAAGATGAAGAGGATGTATGAGGTGCGGAGGTTGCCTGGGAAGTAGTCACCTCAGCCAGAAGGGGGGAGATCAGGGGAGGGATGAGCCCAGCAGGATGGGTTCTGCCATGTTCTAGCCACGTGCCCTTGGGTACATGACTCTACGTCTCTGAGCCTCAGTTTTCTCGCCTCCAAAATAGGGGGTGGTTCCTCCTTGGCAGGGTTATTGCAAGGACCCAATGCAGAATGTGGGTAAAATGCTCAGCATAGTTTGGCGGTTCCTCGAAAAGTTAAACATGGAATTGCCACATGATGCAGCAATTCCACTCCTAGTATATACCCAAGAAAAATTAAAACGTGTACCCAAAGAGATATTGTACAGAAAATTTCATTTGTAATAGCTAAGAAGTGGAAACAATTCAAGTTTCCATCAATGAACAGATGAATGGATAAATAAAATGGGGTCCATCCACACAATGGAATATTATTCAGCCATAAAAAGGAATGAAGTACTGACACAGGCTACAACCTGGATGAACCTTGGAAATGTTATGCCCAGTGAAAAAAGCCAGACACAAAAGGCCTGTTGTAGGATTTCATTTATATGAAATGTCCAGAAGAGGTAAATCCATAGAGACAGAAAGCAGATTACTGGTCGCCAGGCACTGAGGGGAGGTGGGGTGGGGGGATGGCGAGTGAGTGCTTAACTGGCGGTGGGGCGAGATGGGGTTCTTTGGGGATGATGGAAATGTTCTGGAACTAGATAGAAGTGGTGTTTGCACAACTGTGAAGGTACTAAGTGCCACTGAATTGTTCAGTTAAAAATGGTTACTTTCATGTAATGTGAATTTCACCTCAATTAAAACAAAACACCCAGTATAGCCCTCCACACAGAATAAGCTCTCAAAATGCTATGAAAAGTCCTGAAAAAAACAGTTCAGCAGTTGAAGAGGTAGAGGTGAAGCATCCTAGGTGTGGGCAAGCATTCAAAGAGAGGGTGTAGTGAATTCTGAGACTGTTGTTCACTCATGGCTTGTGGAGTGGAGAGAAGCCGCAGGGTTGGCAGGGGCTGGGCCCGGGAGTCTGGAGGGTAACGGGGGACCCCTGCAGGCTTCTAACAGGGGTCAGACTTAGGTTTTTAGAAGACCATTCTGTAATGTGAAGGACAGCCTGGAGGGGGCAGGAGTGGGTGTG